TCAAACCTGAATGGTTTTAAACTTCAAATGTATAAAAATTATAAATAACGGTTTTTGTTACTAGATGTAAGCTATTTTCGGCTACTTTCAATTTTGGTTTGGCTACTAGCTTAAAAGAAAATCTGGCAACCCTGACATGGAGTTCGGGCTCCTTGTATAGTCTCCATGTATAATGCAATTAAATAATGAATATGTTTTAATCATTTTATTCCAATATAACTTTTTAAATAATAAAGTGTTGAACAAACTATGAAATAAAGTCTAATCAGTTTATTTATTAAAAGACAACTATATAAATAATTGCATAATTCTATAAAGAAATAATCATTTATTTGTAAAAGTCCAAAAAACCTTCATATTTAGAAATTAATTTCTCACGAATTATTTGCCTAGCCCAATTAATTTTTACTTTACTGTCTTCATTTATACTTTGCCAAATGTGATATGAAATTTTACTACTTTCTTCCATTGCTTTAAAAAAATATATTGGAATAAAAAAAGGACTGTTTTCTACCATTTTTCAGTATAATTTAGGCAACCAGAGATGTATCAGTTTCCATCCATTTATGCAGCCAAGTATACACACGAATGTATTGTATGTTGCCTATCTAACAAAACTTTGGAACTGGAAGAAAGAACAAAAAATCTCGAAAACTAGTGGAGCTAGATAGGAACCGACAGCAGTTTTGGATTAGTCAGGGCCATTATTGTCAATCTGAATTTTTTCAGAATTGTCAGAGCCCTAAAAATTTTTGAGAAAAACGATGGACCATCGATTTTTTAGGACAAAATATTTTAGGAGCTCTGAAAAATCTGATAAAAATTCTTCCAGTCTATAACGGCACTGGCAAATCCAAAACTGAAAGGAATTTCTCTCTAACTCGCGTAATTTTCGAGATATTCAATTTTTTTTTTCAGGCAAGCAGCTTACAAAAAATGGAGTACATCGGCGGTTTCTGCGGCCCAAATTAGACACGTGGTGCCGTATTTAGACAGCATTCTAATTTTTTGAGAATGTTCATGAAAATTATCGTCAAAAAATTAAAAGTACTTTTCTAAAGGCGATTTATGCAACCAAGTACACGAATGTATTGTATGTTGCCTACTTAACAAAACTTTGGAACTAGAAGAAAAAACAAAAAATGTCGAAAACTAGTGGAGCTAGATAGGAACCGACAGCAGTTTTGGATTAGTCAGGGTCATTATTGTCTATCTGAATTTTTTCAAAATTTTCAGAGCCCTAAAAATTTTTGAGAAAAACGATTTTTTCGACCAAAAAATTTTAGGGGCCCGGAAAAATCTGAACAAATTCCTCGGGACTATAATGGGACTGGCAAATCCAAAACTAAAACGAATTTCTCTCTAACTGGAGTAATTTTCCAGATATTCAATTTTTTTCTTCAGGCAAGCAGCTTACAAAGAACGGACTACATCGGCGTTTTCTGCGGCCCAAATTAGAGACGTGGTGCCGTATTTAGACAGCATTCTAATTTTTTTAGAATAGTAATGAAAATTATCGTCAAAAAATTAAAAGTACGTTTCTAAAGGCGATTTATGCAACCAAGTACACAAGTGTATTGTATGTTGCCTACCTTACAAAACTTTAGACGACACTAATTCTAACAAGATTTCGCAATGTTGCCAATATAAATCGAACTAGAATTTAGTTGTTTACCAAATTTTATTGTTTAAATTTAGTTGGTATCAATTGAGTTTCACGAGTTTCTGGGTAGGTACAATAACCTCACTTTAAATAAGGCTGCTTTGTTTATTTTTTAATAGTTAAGGGTTATAGAAAACTTAAGGAAAGTGCCTTTCGTTCACATTTTTATTTGTTTTGTTTTTTTTACAGCTACATTGATTATAATGAAAGCGTCTCCGACTTGCATATCATACATTTTTTATCATTAAAAGAATTGTTTCTTTTTTGTTTCCACATTTTACTATGTATATTTTTAATTTAAGACAAACATATATATTGTTTATATATTTTTTTAATTTCCGCATCTACACTACGTCTTGAGTATATTGATTTATATTTTGTATAATTTTTTGTGCTTTTGTTTACATACATTTGCTTTTCTGTTATCATCAGAAAAATTCATTAGTAAACATTTTGTATAGCAATAAGTCTAGAATTTCTGTAAATGAATCTAAATAAAAATCCAACTATTATAAGTCTTTTAATTTGCATTTAAATATTACACTTTTCCTAAAAAAAAACACTGGTATCAGCCAGGGGTTGATTATTGATTGTTGTGAAATCATTGTCAAACTGCAGCAACTACTGAGTACTGATCCTTCTGATCTATTCATCTGCACTACCCTCTCATTTTTTCTTCATCGACCTTTTAATTTCTGATACCGCACAATTGTTGTTTTACCTAAGTCCATTAACAATTTTAGGTAAGTATATATTAAGATAATCATTAAGGAATATTGCCACGGTAAAAAAATATACCTTGTGTATTCTTTCTAACCTAAAAAAAATATTTTGGTGTTGATTAAAATATTCTCTCAATATTTCAGTCAACGTTTTTAGTCTTTAATACTTATTGCACCAATTCACTTACCTTTAATAAACCTATTTAGCAAAATAAACTAAACAATATAATACTATTATTATAACTTGGTAAAAGTTAGTAGTTTAGCAGAAAAGATGATTTTTTGTGAATTTAAAATTAATATTTGTGGAAAATATAAGACCGTGATATACAATTAATTTTACGTTACATTTACATAAAAAAACAAGAAAAAGGACCACAAAATTTTACGCTTAATTTATTATTATTATTGGGTGTCATTATGCATTCATTTTATTACTTTTGTATTATTTTATTTAATGAGAACTACCTACAAAGTATTTTAAATTTTCCCGCGACACCACTTTGATATTAAACTGATTTTGGTAAGTAACTAGATATGTTAACTTGGCAACGCTGAGAAATCTTGTTACAATTAGTGTCGTCTCAAAACATTGGAACTAGAAGAGAAAACAATAAATCTCGAAAACTAGTAGAGCTAGATAGGAACCGACAGCAGTTTTGGATTAGTTAGGGCCATTATTGTCTATCTGAATTTTTTCAGAATTTTCAGAGCCCAAAAATATTTGAGAAAATCGACGGACAAACAAACAGACAAACAAACAAACAAACAAACGGACGGTCCATCGATTTTTTAGAACAAAATATTTTATGGGCCCGGAAAAATCTGAAAAAATTCCGTCAGACTATAACGGCGCTGGCAAATCCAAAACTGAAAGGAATTTCTCTCTAGCTCCCGTAATTTTCCTGATATTCAATTTTTTTCTTCAGGCAAGCAGCTTACAAAGAACGGACTACGTCGGCGTTTTCTGCGGCCCAAATTAGATACGTGGTGCCGTATTTAGACAGCATTCTAATTTTTTGAGAATATTCATGAAAATTATCGTCAAAAAATTAAAAGTGCATTTCTAAAGGCGATTTATGCAACCAAGTATACACAAGTATGTATTGTATGTTGCCTAGCGAACAAAAGGATAAAGAAAAGCCGAAAATTTCGAACACTAGAAAGGAACTGAATGCAGTTTTAGATTGGTCCCGGATGTTATAGTTCTCCGAAAAATTCACATTCTCATCTAAAGACTGTTTCAACTTTTTCTTGTAACGTAATGTATGTACATATTGACAGCGAGATTTTTAATACAATTTTGTAGTAAAACTAAAAACAGTGAGAAAATCTTATATTTTGCATTACAGATACATATGTTGCAAACAAATCGTTAATACAGATTAAAAAAAATTCGCCGAAATTACACTAATTCAAGTGATTAACGCAATAACACAATCCTAACTAATATATAATAAACTACGAAATGGTAATCAAATTGAAACAACGTGGGTTGCGTAATCTCCTTTATTCCACTCAATTAGTTGGACAGTAACCGATAGTAATATTGCCCTCCGCCATGGTAGGCGAAAGGGTCACTGGCTGCCCACTTATCTCCACATTCTTAATACATCCGACGTACGGACTTCTAGTGGTGATCGCCCTCACTCTCTTTAGGTAACGGTGCCCGCCCAGGAAGAGGGTGCTTCCCGTGTCCGTGGACGTGAAGTATGTAGCTCCGACCTTGGGTTCGGTCTGTATGTTGTCAACGGAAAGACTGACGACGTTCTTCGACTTCACGGCTAAAAAAACAACACAGTTAATTATCCACAAAAAGAAACGCTTTCCGAGGTTTTAGAAACGGGTAAATTATTTAAAAAGCGCGGTTTAAGAATCGGGACACCTCGCTAAAATTTTCTCGATGAAAATTTGGTTTATGCTGCAATTCGAGATATCCTGGAAGTATACAGGGTGTCCGCGTTTCTTGTGGCAGGACTTTCACAACNACAAGTATGTATTGTATGTTGCCTAGCGAACAAAAGGATAAAGAAAAGCCGAAAATTTCGAACACTAGAAAGGAACTGAATGCAGTTTTGGATTGGTCCCGGATGTTATAGTTCTCCGAAAAATTCACATTCTCATCTAAAGACTGTTTCAACTTTTTCTTGTAACGTAATGTATGTACATATTGACAGCGAGATTTTTAATACAATTTTGTAGTAAAACTAAAAACAGTGAGAAAATCTTATATTTTGCATTACAGATACATATGTTGCAAACAAATCGTTAATACAGATTAAAAAAAATTCGCCGAAATTACACTAATTCAAGTGATTAACGCAATAACACAATCCTAACTAATATATAATAAACTACGAAATGGTAATCAAATTGAAACAACGTGGGTTGCGTAATCTCCTTTATTCCACTCAATTAGTTGGACAGTAACCGATAGTAATATTGCCCTCCGCCATGGTAGGCGAAAGGGTCACTGGCTGCCCACTTATCTCCACATTCTTAATACATCCGACGTACGGACTTCTAGTGGTGATCGCCCTCACTCTCTTTAGGTAACGGTGCCCGCCCAGGAAGAGGGTGCTTCCCGTGTCCGTGGACGTGAAGTATGTAGCTCCGACCTTGGGTTCGGTCTGTATGTTGTCAACGGAAAGACTGACGACGTTCTTCGACTTCACGGCTAAAAAAACAACACAGTTAATTATCCACAAAAAGAAACGCTTTCCGAGGTTTTAGAAACGGGTAAATTATTTAAAAAGCGCGGTTTAAGGATCAGGACACCTCGCTAAAATTTTCTCGATGAAAATTTGGTTTATGCAATTCGAGATATCCTGTAAGTATACAGGGTGTCCGCGTTTCTTGTGGCAGGACTTCCACAACTTACGTTCACAACGTACTAAAAGTCGTTTAAAAAAAAAGTTCATGTAAACATATATGTATAGATGCGTCGTTTTCGATTTACAGAGTGTTCAAGTTTAAAATGAGAATTGATTTTTTATTCGTAAAACGAAAACCCCTTTTTAGACTTTGTTGAAACATGACAACTTTGTTTGTAATAATAATACTCATTTTCTCACATAATTTAATTTGCCCTATTTTCTCCAGTGGCGTCACAACAAGATACCAGCCTGAGAAAAATAGAAAAAAATATGGTACGCCACTGCTTTTTGGTAAGTTTGAAATTTTTCGCAGATTTAGCTATCAAAAATACAACTTTTTTTGTTATTTAATTTTTTCCAATCTCGCTTTGTTTAGTCAGAAATAAAACATTTTCATGAATAGGTTCGAGATTTGCTAAATTTATTTATTTACTCGTTACAAAGTGTGCCGTGAATATGTCTGTTTTTGAGTCGCCAAGGATTTTTCGTTGCCCAATAGATTAAGCGGTCGATTATTTCTTCAATTTTTAACTACCCAGCATGATAGCATGCTAGACGATGTTCCTTTTCAATAAAGAATAGACTCGTTTTTTCAATTAGATCCCAGTACTCTTTGGTGGTACGAAACTGGCTGAATACAGAGTATCCACAGAGATGGGTGGATCGTGAAGGTCCAGTAGGGTGGCCTCCGCGATCGCCTGATCTAATACCTTTGGATTTTTTTGTTTGGGGATTTATTAGGGATGCAGTTTACTCTACGCCTGTTAACCTGCAACAGGAACTTGTACGACGAATCCGGAACGCTGCTCTCCGAACAACTCCACATAATTTGAGAGACGTTAGGTGGTCTTTGGTAAGTCGCTGTAATTTGCGTGTAGAACGAAATGGCGGGCATTTTGAACAGCTCCTTTGAGGTCTATTTATACAATAAGTTGGTTTTCCGTACCGTGTTCTTTATTTTTTTTTATTATCTTACAATAAACTGTGTGAAACAAAAAGTTTTATTTCTGTCTAAACAAAGCGAGATAGGAAAAAAAAGTAAATAACAAAAAAGTTGTATTTTTGATAGCTAAATGTGAGAAAAATTTCAAACTTACCAAAAAGCAGTGGCGTACCATATTTTTTTCTATTTTTATCAAGCTGGTATCTTGTTGTGACGCCACTGGAGAAAATAGGACAAATTAAATTATGTGAGAACGTGAGTATTATTATTACAAACAAATTTGTCAAGTTTCAACAAAGTCTAAAAAGGGGTTTTCGTTTTACGAATAAAAAATCAATTCTCATTTTAAATTTGAACACCCTGTAAATCGAAAATGACGCATCTATACATATATGTTTATATGAACTTTTTTTTTTTAAAGGACTTTTAATACAAGTTGTGAAAGTCCTGCTACAAAAAACGAGGACACCCTGTATAATAAAAATTTGCAATTTTTTTTTCAAAATTCGGACTGCAAAATTATGTAAAATCTATCCAGCTGATTTTGATGAAATTTGGTGTGATGATTCTACATAACATGAAGTTTTCTTGAGCCAAGTATGAAGGTCCTAAAAAGTATTCCTTTTTTAACCCCATTTTTGCGATTTTTTCGATTTTTAGCATAATAATCATGAATCATTCGATTTGTAACTAGTCATGTTTTGTAAAAAATTTAATTACAAACATTTTTTTCCTCTTCCATTTTCGCCCAAAATCAACTCTTGAAAAGATACATAATTAAATAGGAAGAAAAATATGACATTTTTCTAATTTTTTTAACATATTGTGCAGCCAAAAGTTAAGCCCACGTTTCTTTTTATGTGCATAGAAAAATTTTCATTTCTAGTGATATTTAAAAGCCAAAAAGCCAAAAATCTCCTTGGATATACGATTCACCCAAATACGGCTTTTTGAAACGGATACCGTCTGGACTACAAACCCGAGGAAAAAATCAACACCACGACTCACCTTGAATGTTGTGCCACTGCCCGTCACACAAATGATATCGATTGTTCGTGGAATGGAAGACGGCGGTCACCGGACCCCTCCCGTTCTCCACGGTCAGCCTCAACTGACCGTCGACCAACTCCAGAATGTAATAATCCTTCTTCCCGTGCGCCGTAACCAAAACACCCGAATCCACCCTCGGCTTGATGTCCATTTTGATGATCAACATGTGCCCCACCTTGAACCTCTCCCTGAGTTTCAAGAAAGTGCCGTCGCCGCCGCCAAAGTACGTCCCGACCTCCACGTGGTCCGAGCACGGGATCACACCGTGCGGCACCTCCTTCTCCATCGGTTTGTCGTTCATCGCGAAGCTGCGGATGCAACCGTAAAACGTCCTGGAGATATTCTGCGAGGAACAGAAAACGTTTGTATGCTTTTAACCAGTGACGCTCGGCGTCGGCTGGAAACTTACCAAATTTAACAGGACTTCGTCGTAGTCCTCGGGAGGAACCCCTCCGATGAAGAAGGGCACGCGAATGTCTAAGGCGGGAGTTTTCTGTACCATGTTCCCGTCGTTGACGTCCGTATCGTCCACCACTAGTTTGCCGGCCGACCCCTCTCGGGAAAATTTGACCCGATGCCAGTTGCCGTCGTTGTACATCGAGTTCGATTTGATCGATAACGACGTGTTGTTGGCTTTGAATTTGAAGACGACCTGCAAAAGAAGTACCCAAAATTTCGTAACGAGTACTAACGATGAAATTATATTTCTCTTACGTATCCGTCCGTCAAGTATACTGCGGCGTACTCGGTGTGAGTTTGATTGGAGACGTAGAACAGGATTCCCTCGTTCTCCACCGTTTTAAATTCAAGCCTGAAATCGAAGCTCTTCTTGTATCTGCCCCTCGTTGAAGTATACTCTAGCCTGCTGATTTTCTGGGTACCTACACGGCAAGTTGAATTGAAAGGTTAGACTATACAGGGTGTCCGGAAATTCAGGGGATAATTCTAGACCGAAAATAAATGCTACCTCTTTCTATAACATTTTTTCCAAAAGTGATTCTTAACGGAGTTACAGGGTGTTAAATTTAATTCGATAAATCTATCCGTTTTCCAGAAAAACACTAAAAAATCATTTTAATTTATTTTCTACATTAAACACAGCGTGCTTTGGAAACAAGCGCTTAGTTTTTCTCGAAAACGGTTAGATTTATCGAAACAAATAAAGTATACCTTTTTTATGTCAAAAGGTTAGGAGAAAAAAAATATTCAGTCAAAAGTCGCATAAAGTGTAGCACAAAAAAGTTGGAACCATTCAAATCAAAATAAAGGCTCGCATGTGGCGCCCTCTACAAAATGAGAAAAAACGTTGGGCAAATTTATAATCCTCATCCCGAAAATATACGAAATTTCGTCAAAATATTATAAGTGTGGCAAAAGGTATTGCAAAAAAACTGCAAATAAAATTTAACTTTAACACCCTGTAACTCCAATAATAATCAGTTTTGGAAAAAATTTTATAGAAAGATTTATTTTCGTTCTGGAATTTTTTGCTCATCATTTCCAGACACCCTGTATATTTCGTTCCCTCGCAAATCCCGTTCAGCTTACCGAACCTGTATCCGATAACTTTTTCGCTCTCTTGGACCGGATTTAAGGGGAGGGCGCATCCGTCGATGACAGGTGGCGGCTTAGTGGTTAACGTCACATTTCTGTAGGGCTGCGTCGGTGCCTCCGTCGTCGGAATCTCGGTGACCAGTGCTTCTTCTGGCGGCGTAGGCGCAGCGATATTGACAGAATCTAACCCGCCGTCACCTCCAACGCTCGCACCTTGAAAAAAAACATTTTTCTTAAATTCTGAAATAAGTTATTCGACGGTATAATTCCAGACAAAAAACGTACCGTACGGGTTTAGATTTTCTATGAGGTCCTTGGGGCGTTGAGTAGCGTAAGAAGGAATCGGCCTGTCGGGTTTCAACTCGACATCTGCAAAACAGTTAAATTTTTTATACAGGGTCTAACCCCCGCAGAACTTTTTAATTCATAGGATCAAAGAAGCACAACACCCCGTATTACGTCTTTTTTACCTGAATGTTCCGTAGCGATAGAAATGTCCAGCACACATTTATCTAGAATTTCCGCCGATCTGTCGGTGGTGTTGGCAAAGTTCTTAACTTTACCGTTCACCGTCAGGTCTGCTATACACCCGTGAAGCGTTTTCGCCGATCCCACAACTCCCTCCTTCGCTTGAACCCTCCTAGGAAGACCCCCGACGTACATACTAGCATACAACACGTACAACGCAGACGCCGGAGTATCAGTGCTGAAAAATATTAAACGACTCTGTAGAATACACGAAATAATATCGGTTAGGCGACTCACTCGACAAATCCGTAGTCGTCAAAGTCCATCCGCAACGTCTTGTCGTTGTGGATGACGGACACGACGTGCCAGACGCTGTCGTTGAACGTATCCTTAGACACCAACTCTATTCCTTGACTTATCACGACCAAATTCCCGTTCCTCAAGGCCAGCGATATTCCATTGTCCTGTTCGGCATCGGTCACGTAAAATATCAGCCCGTCCTTCTCTCTAGTCTTGAATTTTAGGCTGACGGTGAAATCGTTGTTGATCGGTAAACGGTCCCAGCCCACGTACCCCTGCGTGTTCTTAGCAAAGGACACCATCGAGGCAAACTAAAAATAACAACCTTCAGTAAGAGGGTACAGTTTTCGTTAGGAGTTTACCTTGGCGGGACAGCCGGGAATGACGTCAAACTCCCTGATGTTACTATGAAGGTCGATAGGTTCCGCCATAATGGTGACGTTAGTGATGCACCCGTCGAATTTATCCTGGGTTACGTCGGCGTAATCGTGCTTGTGGGGATACCCGCCGAACGAGATCGTTTCTATCGGTTCCAACAACGCGCCAGAAATCGGATTGGTTCTGTCTATGACGTCTTCATTATCCACTTCGAACCTACCTTTAGCTCCTTCTCTGCTGGCGCTGATCTTGTGCCATTTCCCATCGTTATACTGCTTAGTCGTGACCCACTTTTTAGTGGAAACACCCAAGTTGTACTGTAATAAATATATTTATATAACCTCAATAATGAAAACACGATTGAAGGGACTGTTAAAACAAAAGAACAGAGTTCGGAATAGAGTGAATTGGCAAATCGAGGAGACGCTAGTAAAAAGCGTTCAATCAGACCGAGTATGTATCCCATTTTATCATAATAGCAGTTACGTTATTTCAGGGTTAAACGTTAATGTGCACGTTATTGGGGAATTAAGACCATTTTTAGCGAATACTCGTATTGCAATTTTGTTGTTTTTTTGAAGACGCTTTTGTGTCGACATTTTTAATAATAATTATGCAAAATTATTATAAACAAGAGTCAGAACCCGTTTTTGAGGGATGAACACCAGGGGTAGTTTGCATCAGTTTAAATCCGTTTTAGACCAATAGAAAAAAATATTTGTGAAATATCTGTTTTTTTTTATAAGTAATTTCCATTTCGTTTCATTCCGAAATATTGATTAGAACCCGAGCTGTCACAGAAACACTGTTTTTGGGGATGAACATGAGGGGTAGTTTGCATCCGTTTAAATCCGTTTGAAACTAATAGAACAAATTATTCGTATGATTAGAGAAAAAGTAAAAACTTTTTATTTTGTAACGTTAATTCTAATCGTAGACATTTTTCGCTTACTAGGGGGTTTTTCGAGAACTTAATTTTGCCAATTTGTTTACATAAGTTATATTTTAAATTTTTTTTTAACAAATATGAATTTTTTATTTATAAAAAATGTTTCAAAAATATATGTGGTTTTTTTGAAATAAAAAAGGGTAGCAACCCCCAAACACGAAATCACTAATGAAACATCTGTTTTTTTTATAAGAAGTAATTTTGCATGTTGTTTTATTCCAAAATATTGATTAGAACGCCAGATATTTACAAAAAACTGTTTTTAGGGGCGAATTTTGAGTATGTATTTCACCGACATATTATTTGATAATGAAACAAATACAACGTAGAGCGCAAATAACAGGTACCTACGTACAACATAAAATAGCGGCCGTTTACGGCACGTTATTTCTAACATAACGTTTTAGCGTAAATGGGACACATACATACTCGGCCTGAATATTTTGTTAAAGCACTGTGTTTAGTTTGTGAATCCCGTTACCACAGAAAGCCACACATGAAGAAACCGAGACGAAAAATAATAAGAATACTGATACGTATACAAGAAAGGGGAGGTATATTAAGACACTAACGTCCTGTAATAACTTTTCTTCAAATTAAATCTCACCTGATATAGTACTTTTCCGTTTCTCAGTTCAAGAGAAATAAACGTGGTTCTATTACCAGCGAGGAACAACAAGCCCTTAGTAGCGAAAGTTTTAAACATCAGCTGAATGGATGACTTCTGCTTAAATCGAATGGACCTTGCATTTAAGATGACGTAACCGTTCCCGTTGAATCTATACCCGGTGCTGGGAGCGAGGACCACCAACTCGTCCCTTTAAAAATCAAATGTAAACGATAATCACGGGATATCAAAGACGGATTACCTTTCAACAGCGCCACGAGCTTCGTAGCTGTGGTTGAAGTTCCACAACGATACAGGCGTGTTGCCAATAACCAGATCCTCCACTTCGCCTTCGAACGAATTGAAGTCGATCCCTTTCTGCATCTCGTAGTTCTGTGGCGGGAAGCTCCCTACGAATATCTTAGACTTCTCTTTGTCCAAATTAAAGATCGTGTAAGGTCCCGATAAGGACTTCTCGGCGACTATTGCGTTTTCTTTATGACCGGGGAGTTCTTCGCGTATTATCAGTTTCGCACTGTTGCCGACCCTACGAAATACACATTACTCATAATTACACTATTTAATAACTGACGTTGTACCTTTCTACGATGAACTGGTACCAATTATTGTCGGACACAAATTTTTTATTAACAACTTGATCGGGGCCGTTGCCGATGTCCAGTTTTAATATGGGATAACCGTTTACAATTATTAGAGACATGTAATCGTCCTGAAATAAAATCGTCAGTCACAGTTTAATTTAAAACAGAAATACTCACCGATTTAGTTTTCGTCAAGTTGGTACCCACGGGATTGCCGACATACAACAAAAGTCCGTTTAACTTATCGGTTTTAAAGTATCCAGAGAATTTCGTTGACGTCGTCATATCCTCCAGATTTTTAGGATTCCTCAACTCCAATGTCGTGTTCGGATAAAACTTAACGCCGACTTTTATTCTGTTAGCGATGTCCCTGGCGAGTTCGATTTGTTGGTTCAGTTTATTGATGTTAATCTGAATGCCATCAGACACATTTTTGTAACGTGCTTGTACTTTGGGTAGTTCGTTCAAACTCTCTACGACGGGTGGTAATTTTTCGTTCATGCTGTTTATTTGTTTCTCCGTCACGGTAAAGTTACGATTTATATTGTCAATTTCTTTGGGAAGTAACAGAGCTTGCTCAGTTTCTTTCGGCAGCTAAAATCGTGCGAATTAAATACATATAACAACAACTTAAATAACTTACCTCTGAGAAAGAATTATTAACTAGATCTTCTATGGTGATAACAGTACCCGAGGCTTGTTCCGCGTTATCGGCTGCATTTTTATAGGCTTCTCCTAAGTCCTGTATTTGAATCTTGTCCAAGATCTTCTCGATATCCTTCAACAGCTCCTCATTCTTATTATGTGAAGTTTTAACAGGTCTGTACTTAGAAATCGCCGAATTCAACTTCGGTTCTAGTTTTTGGTAAGTGGATTGATTGGAATCGTGAGCGTCATCGAGAGCCTTAGCGGAATTTGTGTCTGCATCGCGGGTCCTATCTTGGACATTATTCAAAATTTCTAGAGCGTTACTAGTGTCATTCTCAGCGCCCTCAGCTGCATCCCTAGCACTATTAACAGCGGCTACGATATCCCTGTAAGCCCTCGCTGCTTTAACCGCATCCTCAGAACCGATTTGAGATTCCGATAAGATATGTTCAAGTTGTTGAACCCTATCCGACAAACTGTTGGCATGGTCTTGGACGTCGGGTTTTAATTTCTGAACTTCTTCGAGTTCAGCTTCGTTATTTTCTAACTGGCTGTTGAAGTTGATATTGTTTGATTCTAGAACATCGGGGGCATCTTGAAGTTCTTTTAACTTCCCAAACGACGTGTCGATTAAATCCGATGCGTTAGCAAGAATTCTCTCAGAATCTTTAATATTACTCTCGGATTCGATTATTTCATTTTCTATGTTTTCTAATTTGCTTTTCAATCGATCTTTTCTGAAAATCAAAGAAATTTTCACATGTAGAAACTATTGTAATCAATATTTAATTTTGCGTATATTACGGGGGATATGTTTGAAAATCAAATAAAACTTAAACAAAACTCTAACATTTTTTTTAACGTGAATTCAGAAATTACCTTTTAAATTTAAATGTACGAACTGCTTAAATAAAATGTATATATCGACCACAGACCACCATTGCCATTGATCTAACCTAACTAATGATTATAAAATATTTTTCACTTTAAAATAAAATATTTAGTAGATCAAACAAAGGCATTTAGAATTTATTAATTAATGCAGATAGACGGAGAGAGAAGTTTTTAATCACACATCTGTTTGTTTATCCTTGAACCCAAGAAGCATCTGGACACAGAATGTGGTTGCATCATTTTGAGATAAATATATCGACACTCCGACAGTTCGACATCCGTTCTAAATTTTTCACTGTTCGTATAAGACCCTCAATCTTTCAGTTCAAACAGTTTTGTGAAAACACATTTAACATTGGATAAACCATTAAAAATTTCAAATTTACCGCCATCGTCGAGTCACGTGGCTATTGTTGTGGTGTCAATTTTATTTTTGATCTATGGGTGTCAATCGTCAGAGACCGCTAGGTTATGTGTTGGGACTGGAAATTATCGTCCTGAAATAAAATGAAATAATAATAGTCGATAATTATGTTGCCTACTAAAGGCTATTTTCAAGACATCGAGTGCCCTTACTATAATAGCTTATGTGGAAGACCATATTGCCATTTTCGACACAAGAAGAAGCCAACGGAAAATGCTGATGATGTTGTAAGTGAATGTGAAAAAGAAATATCAGCGATTCCTACATATAAACCCACCCCAAAAAGTGAACTGGCTAATATACAAAACAGTAAAAGTCACATTCCTATAAGTTATGTACCAGATTTCACAACTGATCGAAAGTCAAGACCGTTGCCAAAATTTGATAAACCTACCTACAAACCTACACCTTTAAGTATACTTTCGTCAGCTAATAAGAGACGAATTTCAGAGGAGAATGGAGAGAACATTGAAGCTATCAAAGAAATCAAGCAAAACATTGCAAATGTTGAATATAATCCTGCAGTATCATTACAACCCACAAAGGACATCGATTTCGAAGATTTATCTACAGAATTTGACCTTATTGATGAAATTATAAATTCTACAGAGAAGATACAAAAGAATGCAACTGAAACCGCAAAGAATGATATTGAGGATGAACTACTAAATAGCAATAACGAAGAAATTACTGTAAAAGAAGGGAAAGAATCTCAGAGTGATATAAATATAAATGAAAACATTGTCAAGTCGCAACAAAAAGAGGACAAAACAAAATCATCTAAATTAAATATTGAAAAGCTTGAGAGACATGAGAAATTCAGTGACAAAAAAGAAAAATATGAAAAAAACGAAGAAAAACCTGTGAAAGCCAATATCACCAAAGAAAAGGATACTGGTAAGAGTGTGAAAGAAGATAAATCTAAACGAAGCAAGAATGAAAGTAGTGCGAAACATGAGAAAAGTGAAAAATCAAGAAAAGGAAAGGAAAGCAAAGAAAAACATAGAAGTTCGGAAAGAAGTAGTTCAGTTAAAGAAAAAACGAGCAGCTCCAAGGAAAGTAGTAGTAAAGATAAAAATAAAACTAATAACGATAAATCACATAAAAGTGTTTATAAAGATAAACATCGAAAAGAAGAAAAAAAGGGGAAAGAAGAAAAACATTCTCATAATAAAAGTAAACATAAGAGTAGGGATTCAAGTACGAGCAGAAGTAAGGAAAAAAGTAGTCACAAAAGTAGGGAAAAGGAAAGAGACAGAAGACCTGAAAAGGAGAAAAAAATTGAAAAAGATAAATACAAATCAAAGAGTAAACACAAAGTCAAAGAAAAGAGTGACGATAAAAAAGAAAAATATAGTTATTTAGAAGAAAGTAGTAATGAAAGTGATACTCAAGTTTCTATAATCAATGACATAGATAACAATTTTTCCGATTTAGACTTTGACGACGAAGATGAAACTATGTTAGAATGTTACAAGATATTTAACGAGTATAAACCGCCAGAAAAGCCAGCTCTTGATCTACAATTGGAGAATAAATTGCTTGAAACTAGTTTGCCTCAACAGACAATAGACAATAGTGATTCTTTGTTCGGCAAAAAACGGATAGCTCATTCAAATATCGATAATATCGCTACATATTCACAACTGCATCCGCCTAATAAACCAAAAACTGTGAACACACCCGGCCAAATGTTAACTAACCGTTATAAAATTGCGAAGCTTGCCCAAGCTAATAGAGAACAAGAATGTATAATTAATGAAATCAAACAAACCCCGTTACCCGCAAAAAGGCCGGCGCCTTCCTTATTAGAAGCTGCACGAGAGCATAAACTTCGAAGACAACAAATTCAAAATAAGCGGGAGGATGCGACTTGCCTGGTCGACGACATAATAAAAGGCGTTGCAAAACCGAATTCGGCACAAACTAAAGTCACGATAAAAAAAATTGCTCCGGCCCAAAACGTAAAACTGATAGAGAAGGCTAAAGAGAGGATTTCCAAAATAAAACAAACCTCCCAAGTGAAAACCGTCGCCCAAACTCAGAAGACCGGCCGAGTCGCTCATATACCCGAAGTTTCTCTGTCAGATATTCCAGACGTACTTCAGGCAGAGAAATCCAAATTACCCGTAAACGTTAGAACACGATTCTTGACGATGATAGCTGACGAATGTGTGAAACTTTACGTGTCCAGAGACGAAGCCTTTACCAGAGCGTTAAATGAGGAATTTTCGTGTTACGAGAAGTGCAAAGTATTAGCGACTTATCGGAATTCGGCCATGCTGGCTGTGAATCGTTTGAGGAAAGAGGTGCAGGAGCGGGATAAACTCGGACTGGGCCTCATAGGCTTGGGAGAGACTTCTGGTAAAAACACGTCATCGGAGCTAAGGGGGCGAAGTTTCTACGACAGCGTTAAAAAGTGGATTCTATCAGAAGACGAGTTAGATACCCACGGTTACCCACGTGAGAGTGACGAACATTACGGTCGTGCTGTGATAAAAAATCGTAAGAGTGTAGCGCCTTCGAATTTAGACGACAATCAAAAGAGGTGTTCTCGATGCCATAAAAATTACCAAGTGGACGATGACGGTTGGCCGTTATTCGAAGAGGAATGTCTGTATCACCCTTTAAAGAAAAGGACTATAAGGGGTGAACAGACGTATCTGTGCTGTCGGAGTAGCGATGATATGGGGTGCGCCACGTCCGACACTCACGTGTCTGAGGGCTCGGACGAAACGGAACTGTCGGGATTTCAAAAAACTATGGACCCCGAATATGAGGACGATCCCAGAAGTTACACCGTTTACGCTTTGGATTGTGAAATGTGCTACACGACCAAAGGCTTGGAACTGACGCGTGTAACCATTGTAGACACTGACTGTAAAACCGTTTACGAGTCCTTGGTCAAGCCGCTCAATCCGATAATAGACTACAACACGAGGTTCTCCGGCATCACCAAAGAGCAAATGGATAAGACCAGCACCAGTATCCTGCAAATACAAGCGAACATTTTACATTTGTGCAACTCGAGGACGATATTGGTAGGTCACAGCTTGGAGTCCGACATGAAGGCCTTGAAAATCGTGCACGAGACTGTAATCGACACGTCGGTCTTGTTTCCGCACAAAATGGGACTGCCCCACAAGCGAGCATTGAAGGCGTTGGCTAGTGAGTATCTACGCAAAATTATCCAGAATGATATTAGTGGCCATGACAGTGCGGAAGATGCCATTACTTGCATGGAACTCATCAAGTGGAAGCTGAAGGACGAGACTAAGACGCGTGGGTCTAAGTGAAGCTGTACTTGTCGATAAGCTAATAACATAATAAATATGTTTGATGACGTTTATTTATATAACCCGTAATTTTAATTTATTAGTTGCGTGTTGCTATATAGACTTTATTCTTGATAAATTTGAATAAAGTACATTTTCTATTCATTAAATTATTATTTAGGTATTAATTTTTTTGTAAATGGTATTGCTTTATAAGTCTGATTGTAAAAATGTACATATTGTTGTATATATATATAATTCTGAGAGGTTTAAATTTGTTCTGATTTGTACCACCTTCACAAAAATAAACTGATTAAGTTATAAAACGTAATTATTATTCTAACGCCTTCAATACGTTCTCTTAATTAACGATATTGGGAGAAACAGATCGGTAATGAAACTACATCCGAAATGAGATCCGAAATATTTAGTCAATATTAGTCGCAGTAGTCGGCAGAGTAGTCGTTTCCCACAATATTATTAGTTAAAAGGTCTTTCATCCGGCGCAATTCGTTTTCGTAGTACCTGCAGATTAGCACGTCGCCCTCTGCTGACATTGAACAGCACTTAAATATGACTTAAATGTTTGTACAAATTTTAGGAAAAATATAATGAGTGTTTGGAGAAACGTTTTTTAAATTATCTTGCTACGATTTGTAAGAGTCAAAGATTTTTTTGAAGTTACAGTTTTTACAGGCGAGACCTTGGATTTTACCTTTTCCTTGAGACGTTTAATACAGGGTGTTCCAATTTATTTATATACAAGCCATTAACTCGGCAAATAAAGGTAAAATATTTTTAATTAAATAGACCTTAAAAGAGAGAATATTTGGAGCATAACTTCCTCAAATAGTCCAGTTACTCAGAGTTTTTACCTCCAAATTCTTTATAACTGAACCGATTGAAGTGAAATTTTGACCGAATGTGGGGAATACCTCAAGGAACAAAACTTATAGTGCCGAAGTGTGCTTTTGCCCTGGGGGTGGTTCCCACACCTTCTTGGGGGTGGAAACTTTTATGCCCAAAATAACCGAGGAATCGATAGAGGAGTCAATTTTAAGTAACAAATGTTATATAAAGTTTTTTGGATAGTCCAATACTTTCCGAGTGTAATTGAAAATGTAGATTTTTTACTGAAAAAGTGCTTATTTTCGGACAGTTTCTTGTAAATAACTGAAACCATTGGATTTAACGAAAAAGTTGTAATGAACAAAAAGAAAGGTAATAAAATAACAAATCTAATGGCATTATTTTGTTTTTCTCTAATTGCAATATAAACCCAGTTATGGATTTATAAACATTATTATATGTTAGCTAAAAACTAAATTGGAACCAGTTAACGTTAAATAACGTCAAAATCATAAATATTAGGAAAAAACTATTTGCACCTTTTTAAAAGTACTTGCTTTGAAAAACCTGAAAAATGAGCTGTTTTAAAAGTCTTTAGAATCAAAATTAATGGAAATATGATCGAAATAACATAATAGTCTCATTTTTTTTAAAGAAAAAATTAAACAAATCAGTGTCTTTGGCGACATAATTAAAATTAAATCAATCCGTTTACAGATTTCTTCATTTATGTTCTAAGAATATGTTCTGGGTCTTTGACTCACTTACAATGCATGATTTAAAAAAAAATCTTAATTTTTGAAAATGTTAATTTTCCAAATTTCGGTGTTTTTTAAAGGTTTTTCCGGGTTGAAAATTTGGGATACATTAAGTTTCATGTTAGATAGCACATGAAATTACTCATACTGCACAAATAAAAAACAATTTGATTACAAAAAACGCTTAAATTTGTATTTTTTCTTTTTTTTTCCAATAAGGGGTGGTTTTCACCCCTTAAGAACAAAAAGCACACCTAGCGCATATATAAGTTTTGAAGTGGGGGATAAGATGAGCCTAATTCTAAATTTTGAGAAAAATCTATGCAGTTATAGAAAATTCGAAGGTAGGTATTACTATATTTTCAGCTACAGTAACTGGGCTAAAAATAAATTCTAAGCCTATACGACTTTTTAGCTGTAGATTTAAAAAAAAACTATTGACAATTTTTTGATACAAAGTTTATCGCGATGTTATTACACCCCTTGGTTCTAAATTAAAAATAGAAATGATCACAAAAAAACTAATAGAAAATAAAATAATTGAAATAAAAGAAAATATATCAGAATGTGTCGCAATTTTATATATAAAATTTAATAATCAACAGGTCTTTATAGAAAATGATAAACTATTTTGAGATATGTAGAATAAAGTCTGTTAAACGTTAAAAATTGACATCCAAAATAAAATCACAGCACGTTCCGAATCAATTTGGAGGAAGTCATAGAGACACCCTGTATATAATTTAACGCAATCAGCTAACAAAATACCGTTCAATCGTAAACTAAAATTAACTTACCTTATTTAACGTGCTTCTTATAATATCAATATCTCTATTCCTCATTTTAAAGGAAATAACCTTCTTTAACAAAAAGTAATGTCTTTAACTAATAATGATTAATAGGACGTTTTCTAACGGTAGGTACAAAGTTATGTTTGGCATGTAATTAAGTAATAATGCGTTTAGTTGCAATGACATTTAAGATTTGACATATACTTTATAGGTTATATGTCACACAGCGACCTACTGCAGTTGGTTCAAAGTAAAGCTTCTTGCCAGTAGGAATTAGGTAGCAAAGACATATAAGATGACATATACTTTGTAGGTTATATTTCATAGAGCGACCTACGCCAGTAGGTACAAAGTAATGCTTTGCGTCAGTAGGCAAGTTTACCTTATCCACAAGAGTTGTGTGGAAGTTTATGAAATTAATAAAAAAGAAACATACAATATTTATAAATTATCAAAAATTTATACAATTTTTCAATGTCTGAAAAAAAAAACTGATATTTCAATACAAATAAAAAAATTATGTTGTACTTTAAATGTAATTTCAACCTTGAATTTCATGTGGATTTTAATAAATGTTGGTTTATATACGAAAAATACTTTTTTTTTAATGAACCAAATTAACTTCAGCACTGAAAATTACTTACCCGATTCTTGCTACTATATTTTCCGCTTCCTTGGCCATATTCAAAGAATACTGGGTGTGGTTAAACAAGTCGTCCAACTTCTCGTTGAAATCCTTCAGGGCTTCCTTTATCACGTCCACCTGTCCCTGAAGGGTCTCAACCGGGTATTTGTAATCTACGACGTTTTTTAATACCTCGTTGATCTTATTCAATTCCTTGTCCGCCTCGTCTTCGCGTCCGGTCAAGTTATAACTTTTTATAGACTTCAGGAGGGTTTCGCCAGTTTGCACCGCCTTGTCTATTTCGCTGCCTACAAAATAATAAAACGAATAAATGATATATTTCGTGGCGCACGAGGGATCGATATACCGGCTTCCTCGTTTAATTCTCCCGTGATCCTGTCGATTTCGTCTATAGTCCGAAGGGCGTCGTCGTCTGCTTGATTAATCTCATCAAGTAAGATCTCCAGTTTGTCTTTCAATTTCGTCGATTGATTCCGGAGAGAATCGCTGTTCTCAAGGGAGTAATTGGACTGAAACGGAGACATAAATGTGAAAACGTTGATAATAATTAAGATGTTTAAACACCTTTCTGTTTAAGTTCTTCGAGTCTTGCTCTAGGCTCTCCAGTTCTTGGATAATGTCGTCCAAATTGATTTGCCTCGGATCGACTTCGTTGAACTTCGGTTTCTGCCTCTCCAACTGCACTTTCATGTTCTCCATTTTCTGCCAAGTGAAATACCTCGATCCGATCGACTACAAACGAAACGACACGCGTTTTATTACAAACATTTGAGGTGGTACCATGACGACTTACATTGAAATCAATTATAACCGGGTCTATCAACACAGCTAGACTATCGGTATCATCTAGAAGGGCGTGGTGACAACTGTCGCACTGGTGACAACCGAAGTCGGGGACGAAGGCCCACCGCCTTGGACACTGGTCGCATTTCTCCCCAATCACGCCTTGCAGGCATTCGCACTGTCCGGTAAGTGCATTACATCCAAACCCGAGCGAATATTCACTCTTACATCCGCAAGCTGAAAAAAAACATAATTCGCAACTCCAAAGACAATATTAACACCCGTACGTTAACTTACAAACGCAACCGCCGGAAGTGTAATTCCAGTACCCCCCAGCGCACCTATCGCAGGATCTTCCGGTAGCGCCAGGCTTGCACTTACACTGCCCCGTGACGTCGTCGCACTGATCACTCTCAGAAGCCTCGGCACACTCGCAAGGTACGCAGCCACGGCCCGACTGGAATCCGTAGTGCTCCACTTCGCAACGGTCGCATTTCTCGCCGATCACGTTGGGCTTGCACACGCATCGTCCTGAGAAACTTTCGCAGTGGTCTGTTCCCGTCTCGTCGCATATACAGGCTGTTAATTAAGAACATCGACAATTATTAAATTAAAAAGGTTTTCCTGGAAAACAATTCATTACCTTGACAATTCTTCAGGTTCACCGCGTCACCATAAAAACCTGGGGCGCAGAGTGAGCAAGCTTCGCCGAAGGTGTTATTCAAACATCGTAAACAATCTCCCGTGACCGTATCGCAGGAACTGGGATCTTGGGGGTTAATATTCCCGGAACACTGGCAAGGCTTGCAGTAGTCGTCTAGACGGGCGTAGAATTAAAATTTACGAATAAAAAAATCAAGCAATGAGTGTATTACCTACGACCTCAGGACGACCGTAGTAACCGGGAGTACAAGAGTGACATCTAGCCCCGATATAACCGTCTACGCAATCACAACTGATCTTTTCCCCATCTGCACTGACCTCACAGGCCGTCGCAAAGCTGCACAAAAACAAAAAACATTACAAACGTTAAGCGAACAGCTAAAGCGGAAACCTACTTGTTGCTTGCAATAGGCAGAGGACAAGCGCAGATCAAACAGTCGTTCGGAGTTCCCGCTAGAGCGTTACCGTGGTAGCCGACGTTACAGAGCTCACAGTGGTCACCTCGAGTGTTATCGGTGCAGTTCTATGAAAATAAATCGGAACGTATCGTTCGGTTTCAACATCCCTATCCCGGAAATTAAAATTTGGTACTTACGAAACAGATGCCGGTGTTGACGTCACATTCCCTCGCGTGTCCATTGCACTGGCAGGGAACACAGTAGCCGCCGTGCGGTCCCGACGATATCCTGTAATAACCAGGAGCGCACTCCTCGCATGACAAGCCCTGATAGTTCGGGGGGCAGTGGCACTGCTCCACCGAAACAGCCAGGGGACCGTTCCTTACATCATAGTCGTCTTTGGCTCTGAACGCTTCGTCGAGGGCCACGTTAATTAACCTGTCAAAAACGTGGGAATAGAAACGTACAATCTCTCAAGATATAGATAGATAACTTTTTATTTTTCGCTTTGTAAAGTTGTCAGAAACAACATATAAACAGTTACCAACTGTAGAGTGTACGCTAAATTATTTATTTAACAAATTAGTTGCAAAATTACAGTTTTTGTAAAATATATAAAAAAATTTAATTTTTAAAAGAATTAACTGCGCCATTCGAAAGAACAGAAAATTTTACATAAAAAATGTTAATAAAGTTTTTTTCTAAAATGCGAATCGAGGGCTGTAGAATTTTTTTTCTAACATACGAAAAAGGAGACGGGCGGGGCGGCCCCCAAGTATAGCTCTCGAAGAGCGCGCGGCCCCGGGCGCGCTCCACTAAATTTGTTATAACTTTTGATCTAATTGATCAAATCGACCTCACAAAAATTTAAATGAAAGAAGAGTCATCCAGCTATCAAAATTTTATGTCTTTAAACTTGAGAAAAAAAAATATACAGGGTGATTCACAACCTCTACAAAAAAATTTGGGAATAGATGCGGCATGAGAAATGGAGTCAATATCGTAAAAAAAATGTTTGTAAAATCCTTATAGTTTCCGAGAAAAAAATTATTGAAGTTATAGTACCTTCAACCACTACACAGCTGGACAACTGTAGTCTCTAGCGTCATTCGCAATACGCATGGAGAGCCACGTGGCCTTAGCGACTCCAAATATTGAAATCCGTCGTTGTGATAGTGTTTTTACCTGTTATCTGTGGTGCTTACAACAGTTTTTTAGTAGTTAGTGTCAAAAATGGTTTGCGTGTATAGCATCTCAGAGTTGATGGATATCGTTTTAATTTATGGTGAAGCAAAACATCATTTGTGTTAGTTCATAGAAAGTGATTAAGACGAACCCAAATGTGTTTACACATCCGTGGATAAAATTTTGAACAATTGTTGTTGTAACATCGGGTACGTCAAATGATTTTATTATTTAAAAACACAAATTAATTTTATTAGTTAATAAAGGCAAAAGCATTTGAATTTGCCGACATAAAATAGGTGGTATAAAATTCTATTTATTTCTTTCTTTGCAAAAGTTTTTGTCCGTTTTTATCACACCGCCATGCCGGTCGCATTGTGCAAGGTCAGGTTTTACAGTGGACCAGTTTTCAGAAGTGTATTTTTAAATCATTTTCGAACTGCCCTTTTTGATTTTTTCTTTACAAAATTGTATTTGTAAGGGTCCCCTGTACATCCAGAATCTTTTTTTGGATAAGTTCTGAATCACACTGTATATATATAATAAGTATGTATACAAAGTTTTCAATTTTTTCATCATTTTCAATGATCTCTGAGACTGACCTACTTTCAGTGAATTACATAATGTCAATCCACCTGATGGGATATGACAACACGGCGCTAGACGGGCAAAAAAACAAACGTCTAACATTAATTTGGTGAAACGAGAACAGCCCAATGTCACCGCTTCATTTTCAATACCTTGCAAGCATACTTAAGTTGTAAACTATTTTCACCGATTAACGGTTGTGGCATCACAAAATACACATTTCATATTTTTAGTTAGTTAGCGATTATGTCTTACCTCGTCGTAACGCTAGCAGTCCAGTACGTAGCCCTGATATAAATACCGCGCAGGTCTCTAAGCACCTCCATAATGTGTTCCCTTCTTGCGGCTCCCCCCGCGGGCAGTTCGAAGTTGCTCTCTACCAACTGCAGCGTGCTGTAAAACTCCGTCGCCGGCGGCGGCTGCTCGAATCCGTAATTAGTCAAATACAATCCGGCTCCCTGTAAGATAAGGTCCGGGCCGTTGACGGCGGACGCCTGCGGTCCGATGACGTAATAAATCGTGTAGTTCAAGAAACCTCCGTACGATGTTAATTTTTCCCCTAAATAGTCCTGAGGGGCCGAGAAATACGCCGCGTTCTCCGACACGTTAAAATAGGAAAAGTCCACGCCGATGACGTTTTCGTTTTCGTCTACGCTTTCCACGGTAAGGTTCAAGTTTGTTACGTTCAAGGGTACGGAAGCGTGGACGGCGACGACTTCCCAGTCCCTCATCTCCGTCAGAGCGATTTTAAGCAGGTTCGATTCCGTACACCTGGTCGTTTTACCGAAACAGAAGCATTCCGTGCACCCGTCATCGTTGTCGTCCCTCAGGTTAAAGGAACCCTCTCGGCAGTATTCGCATCTCGGCCCCACTACGTTCTTCTTGCAGAAGCATTCGGCGGACACCTGATCGCAGATCTCGGCCGTGGTTCCCACGGTGTTGCACTCGCAGGACTGGCAGTACGGGAACGAGAAATGCCCCGGTTTGCATTGGTCGCAGGGACGACCGATGATGTTATTCTTGCACCTGAAAAAAGGTTTGAGTTAATCCGCAACAAAAAGAAAATTATTCGCACTTACGGGCATTCTCCGGTAAGGATGTCGCATTGTCTCGTCTCGTTAACACCCAAATAATTACATTTGCACTCCTCGCAGCCGATAAGGGGGTCGTAACCGTAAGTGTAGGGCTCGCATTGATCGCATCGCTCGCCGACTACGTGCGGCGGGCAAATACACTGACCCGTCGACGGTTCGCAGTAGGCAGTCGACGGACAGTTGCAGGGTTTGCAGTCGGGGAAGCCATAATATCCCGTTTTGCACGCCTCGCACTTTCGTCCTATTATGTGATCTTTACACGGGCACTGTCCCCCGAACTTCTCACATTCGAAACTGTAGGAACCGGAGAAGTCGCACTGACAAAAGAGTGCTCCCGTGTTGTGGTTGGCCGTTATGGAGAATACGGAGTCACGACAGAAACCTACAAAAATACAAATACAATGAAGCAGACAGATTGACACAGATATTGAAGAAGGGTCGCCCCAAGCGAGGACCTTGTGGTATACCTAATAGTCCAAGCATTATAGAGAAATGCTTACAGAAATTATTACCTGGACAAAAAAAATATGACCGTATAGAAAATTAAATTTTAAATTGAGTTTCTTGTTCTTTAAACTCGATCCAATATGGCGAACATGGTTAAAAAAAATCGCAAAGTTGAAAAAAACGGTTTTTCTAAAATAACTAAAAAAATATAGCACGGATTGAAAAATTTTAAATGAGAAAGTTGTAGGTTTTAAAAAGATCTATCGACTGATTTTTTGAAAGTATCGATTGCTTTGTTACTTTTCGAGATATATCGAAAAAACCGTTAAAAATCTTCTCTTTTCTCTTCTTCTATAACTCGTTTACATTTACGTGCCCATATTTGCTATTTACTGCAAGCATAGCCCGCGGCAAGCCAAAAAAGTACATTTTTGAAAAATTTAAAAATATTAATTATTTTTCGAGATATATCGATTTTTTGAAAAAAAGGCGCTCTCGAAAATTGGCTAGATCTTCTCAGCGGATAGCCCTACAGTAACGATTTTCGGTTTATTTTCTTCGTAAAGAGTTATATTATCATGCTGTTAAAAAATGTTGACGATTTTATTAATTTTAAGGATCAAAAAATGACTGAAAAAGTTGCACTTTTTTTGGGTATGTTTTTTTCAAATGACTATTTCAATTTTTATTTTATGAAAATGACTTAAAGAAAGAAGCTGCTGACATTTTTTCACGAATTTAAAAAAAAAAGTGTTTTTTTACGACCTTCTAGAGCCGAGATAATTTTTTTATTTAAATAAATTTTTGAGGCCGCAATTAACATTATACAGCGATGCGCTTGATGGAGGTTAATATTGAATACTTATATTTTCAAAAAAAAATAGTAGGATATGTTTACTTGATTTTTAGTATTAATAGTTGAGAAGTAGGGGGAAGCGGCGCGCGCTCGCTATGAAAACTGATGACGTGCAGTCTAAATGGTTCGTGCTTGCAAAATCTTTGATATCTCGGCTTCTGGATCACGTACAAAAATTCTTTTGTACTTAATCTGGGGTAGCTAAACACGATTATTATAGTCATTTTAGCCTTAGAAGCAAAATAGTACTGTAAATGTTTAGTTTTTATTTAACTTATATTTTTTTTACTTTTATTATACTTCTTCACGAAAATATGGACGACGAACAAGAAAATGAATCAAAAGACAATCCGACAAAGAAAGGAAGAATTTCATTCGATAAATAATTTTATCTGTAAGTATAGGATACTTTAGTTTTCATTGTAATAATTTTATAGATATTTTATACATAGTTGTATAATTATTAAATATTTTTGTAAATAAATTAAATTTTTTAAACTTATTTTACACTAAAATTAATAAATTATTGAAATGATGAAGTAATTGTTAAAAAGCCAGCAACAAGTACGTCAGTATGATTAATGAAGCAAAAAAAATTAAGGTATTACACGAAAAATACTGTAATATTATTAATTATTAAAATGACGATATATGCAAAAAAAAATTGTAATTTAAATAAAAACTANAATTAAGGAATTACACAGACCCACAAAAAAAAAAAAAAAGTTGAAAACACCAGACTAGACCCACCTATCCTTATGTATTTTGATGCGCTGAAACCGAATCCGGAGTCAAAATTACTCCATCACCCTCCAGTTTTTTTTAAATCGCGAAAAACTACCCCAAAAACATGGAAAATCTTCAAATTTCGCGATTTCTACTTTTTTTTTTTGTGGGTCTGTGTAATTATACAACTATTTATAAAATATCTATAAAATTATTACAATGAAAACTAAAATTATTTATCGAATGAAATTCTTCTTTTCTTTATCGGATTGTCTTTTGATTCATCGTCCATTGTTCGTCGTCCATATTTTCGTGAAGAAATATAATAAAAGTAAAAAAAATATAAGTTAAATAAAAACTAAACATTTACGGGACTATTTTGCTTCTAAGGCGAAAATGACTATAATAATCGTGTTTAGCTACACCAGATTAAGTACTAAAGAATTTTTGTACGTGGTCCAGAAGCCCAGATATCAAAGATTTTGCAAGCGAGAGCCATTTAGACTGCACGTCATCAGTTTTCAGAGCGAGCGCGTGCCGCTTCCACCTACTTCTCTGTCCGGTCCAGCTGACGCACTCAGCGCTTGCACGTTTTTTTTTTTTTTTTGAAAATATAAGTATTCAATATTAACCTCCATCAAGCGCATCGCTATATAATGTTAATTGCGGCCCCAAAATTTTTTTTATAAATAAAAAAATTATCTCGGCTCTCGTAGAAAAACATTTTTTTTTTAAATTTGTGAAAAAATGTCAGCAGTTTCTTTCTTTACAAGTCATTTTCATAAAATAAAAATTGAAATAGTTATTTGAAAAAAACACCCAAAAAAAATGCAACTTTTTCAGTCATTTCACAAGATTTAGTCATCTTTCGAGAGCGCCTTTTTTTCAAAAAATCGATATATCGAAAAATAATTGATTTTTTTAAATTTTTCAAAAATGCACCTTTTTGGCTTGCCGTGGGCTATGATTGCAGTAAATAGCAAATATGGGAACGTAAACTTAAACGAGTTATAGAAGAAGAGAAAAGAGAAGATTTTTAACGGTTTTTTCGATATATCTCGAAAATTAACAAAGCAATCAATACTTACAAAAAATCAGTCTATAGATCTCTTAAAAACCTACAATTTTCTCATTTAAAATTTTTCAATCGTTGCTATATTTTTTTAGTTATTTTAAAAAAACCGTTTTTTGCAACTTTGCGAATTTTTAACCACATTCGCCATTTTGGATCGAGTTTAAAGAACAAGAAACTCAATTTAAAATTTAATTTTCTACACGGTCATATTTTTTTTGTCCAGGTAATAATTTCTGCAAATTTAACGTTAATCCGCGACAGAATGCTTGGACTATAACACTACTACGATTTTGTTGTGCAAAATTAAAATTACCACACAGACCTAAATAGACAAACTCACCCTCGTGACTAGTGTCGATGTTAAAGTGGTTGTTACCGCACGTCGAGATAAATTCGCCCGTTCTATCTATCTCCTCTTCTTCGAGAATTCTGTCAGTATACTGATCCGCAGGTATTACCAGGAGGTAATCCAGGTACACGTTCTTGTTATCCGGTTGCTGGAATAAAAAATTTGTTATTACGGCAGTTTTTAATTTAAAAATACGACCTACTTTCAACGTAACCACAAAGTTTTCGGTGAGGGAGAACTTGTTATTCCTGTTGTTCTGCAGGACCACCGATCTGCATCCCGATTGGGACGGGCAATGTCTGACGGGTACGGTGGATTCGTAAAACTGCCCGTTCTGTATGGTAACGTTCAGGTCGAAATCTGCAAAAAATTCAAATCAGCTCACGAGTTACCTTTCGATAAATACTCGTTTACCCGGGAATTGAGGCTGGTAATAGTGCAACACGAATGTATAGTAACCGGGATGGGTCACTTTGCCCTTCAAGTCCACAAAAGTTTCCGACGGGTTCAACCAGACGTAAGACGTTTCGTTACTCCCCCTGATCGGCGGTCTGTTCTTTCCAAGTTCTCCTTCCAAGTCTTGCTCGAATTGTATCTTCTTAGATTCCGGGGGGTTGCGGAAAGAGAACGGAATGCACTGCTCGTCTTTACGGATGCATACGGGTTTGGGCTCGATGTAGTCCAGAGACCATTCTTCGTAGGGAACCGCGTAAATCGAGTGGACACCCACGTTCACGTTGTCGCTCTAAAAAGTTAGAATAAATACCCTTAACTGCAAAATTAACGTTGACGTCTCTCAATTAGGCCGGTCATTGTAGCTTTTTTCGGGAAAAAAATACTATTAGAAGTTTTTTTGCAGAATATTGTTCGGAAACGTATTGTAAACAAAATATCAAAAAATTAACTCGAGACTAGTTGGGAAACTAACTAATTTGAATTTGACAACCGTTGTTACTATTTTTTAAAGCACTGTGTTTAGTTTATGAATCTCAATGTCAATGACCACTGACTTGGCTTAAGTGAACTACGTAATACCCATCCACCTGATGGGATATGACAACAAGGCACTAGATGGGTAAAAACAAACGTACAATGTTAAGTCGTCGCTGAAAAATTACCTTCAGGTCCAGGACTATAAAACTCCCGTTGACCGGATATACCGCCACTCCTCCTCGCTCGTTAATAACGGCCTGCCTGCACAACGCCGTGTAAGGGCAAGAATAAAGTTTCAAGTTGCCGCGTTCAGTTCCATTCCACAGATGGGCGATCACGTTCACGTCGTGGGTGCGTAAATCGTTTAACGGTGTGGCGTAGTTGATCACGATAACGTAAGGTCCAGACTTGTGCACACTGATATTAAACGATATGTCCGGCTGGGCGGCGTTTAATAAAGGGACCTTGTTGAATGCCCCGATTTTGTTTAAGTGCTGAAAGAAAACTTTTGTAAATTTATATTATTTTAAGCGAGCGGACTTACCTCTACGTCTTGGAAAAATTCATGTGTTTGTTCGATATTCTTGCCGGATCGTATGAAACCGCCGATACCCCACGATTTATCGAAAATCGTTATGTTCGGGTACGCGTAATGTCGACAAAGGTCCTTTTTGTCTATCGTGCAAGGCTTTTCTACCTTTTGGTTCAAAACTGTGGCTAAGTAAAAATCTTCGGGAAGGAGGACGAAGTAATCCTAAAATCAAGAAAAAAACAGTAAAAAACTTTTTAAACCTTCCGATATCTTCTAACTTACGATTAGAACGCTGCCGTTTACGTTTATACTGACAAACCAACGACCCGGATTCATCACAAACGGCTTCGGTGTGTTTCCCGACTCTCCCGAGACGGTAACAAAAGACGGCTCGGACGTGTTTCTGAACTGAACCTTGACGTACTGCTCGATGTCGTTTGGATTATCCGGCGTAATCCTTATCCCTCCAATTACGCTATTAGGATTACCGTTGACAAACCTCAGTACCATTCTGTACAGCGACGGTTTGAATATGTAGATAACCTGGATGACTTCCTTTTGTAGCGACGAGAACACAGCATACCCCTTCCAGGAATAGTTTGGGAAAACCCGTTCGTTGTGAGCGTACCTAACGCTGCTATTCTCTGGGGTACGACCGTCCTCCACCTCGTACTGGTATTGGTACAGGGTGGGAAAGTAATGGGTCTGTAGGGGTTCTTTACACGTGCGACCCGTCACACGGGACTGGCACGGACACTGACCCGTCGTCTTGTGGCAGATGTTACTCACCGATCCCCCGACGTCACAACGGCAATCTGTAAAAATTATTTCACTTAGAATTCGTAATTATATAGTTCCCTCTAAAAAAAAACAGATATCCCACCTGTACAACCGAAAAGGTTATCCTCCCTCATGTCGTAGGTGCCGTCGGCGCACTCCGTGCAGCCCCTCGCGATAACCGACGGTTTACAGACGCACTGTCCGTCGTCGGTGTCGCAAACCGCGATGCCACCTAAAACGCCCGTCTTATTGCAGTTGCACTCCTCGCAGCCGTCGGGATTGTTACGGTTGAGGTTCCAGTAGAGCGGCTTGCACTTGTTGCAGATGCGCCCCTCCACCCGGTCCTTACATTGACACAATTCGCCGGCGGGGACCGAACCGCAACCGGCAAACCCTGCCACCACACCAGCCGGATGGCAGTTACAATCTGAAATACAAGATGGCGTTTATATCATACTGTCAGCTGTCAAAATATTTCCGAACTGTCAAATTTCAGGAAATTTAATTAGTTAATATTATTCATAACTTTGAGGGAATATTTTACCTTCGCAAGCTGGGAAATTATAGTATCCTTCTTTGCACACGTCGCAATGCTGCCCGGCGTAATTTTCACGGCATTCGCATCTACCCTCTTGATCGCAAGAAACACCGATCGCTCCATGATCGCATTTACAGGCTAAATAATTAAACAATAAGTATTAGTATTATATATATATTAGTTTTAAATGGCAACTTACGCTTGCACTCGGGATAGTTATAATATCCGGGATAACACTGTTCGCAGGTGCGCCCAGCGTAATTCGACAGACAGGAACACTTCCCGGTAGTGCTGCAGGTGGAACCGTGAGATCCGACCTTGCTGCAGTTGCAGGGCTTGCAATCGGGGTAGCCGTAGTACCCCATGATGCACATGTCACAACGTTCGCCGCCGTAACCCTCTCTACAGATGCACCGGCCCGTTTCTTTGTTGCAAATCCCCTCTTCGGTTCCGCTGGTGTCGCAGTTGCAGTCTGTTAACCAAAATTGGGTTAAATAACACTTCCTCCTGACAACGATCGCTAAATACACTTACACGTGCATTCGGGGTAAGAGTAATACCCGTTTCTACACTCGCTGCATTTGGATCCCGCGTAGTTATTTTTACAGGAACAGTTCCCGCTCTCGTGGTCGCACGATGGAGAGACAGAGCCTTGCTGATCGCATCCACAGTCTGAAATTAGAATTATTTTTTTACCAAGCAAGGTATTCATTATTTTGTTAAAGCACTATGCTCGGTTTATGAATCTCAGTGTCGACGACTTCTGAAAAAATTTAGGCGTACTACATAATACCAATCCACCTGATGAGATATGACAAGGTGGTAGGCGGACCAAAAACAAACGATGAAATGAGACTGGCCGAATATGTCAATATACAGGGTGTCCGCGTTTTTTGTAGCAGGACTTTCACAACTTGTACTAAAAGTCCTTTAAAAAAAAGTTCATGTTCATAATATATGTAGAGATGCGTCGTTTTCGATTTACAGAGTGTTCAAGTTTAAAATGAGAATTGATTTTTTATTCGTAAAACGAAAACCCCATTTTAGACTTTGTTGAAACTTGGCAACTTTGTTGAAACTTGGCAACTTTGTTTCTAATAACAATACTCATTTTCTCACATAATTTAATTTGTCCTAATTTCTCCAGTGGCGTCACAACAAGATACCAGCTTGAGAAAAATAGGAAAAAAATATGGTACGCCACTGCTTTTTCTGTGTAATATTAATTAGAAAAATAGACAAAAAAACAAGACAATCGCCAATACTTACGAGTGCACTCGGGAAAGTTGAAGAAGCCCTGGGCGCACTCCTTGCAGTATTTCCCGCCAAAGTTCCGTAAGCAAGTACACTCCCCGTCGTTAAGTGAGCACTGCAGGTTTTCGGTACCATTGAGGTAGCACTCGCACGGCTTGCAGTTCGGATAATCGTAGTAGCCGAAACTACACCTGTCGCAGTTCGGCGGCGTGAATTCTTTCCTACACTCGCAACGTCCCGAACCCTCGGCACAGTTCCCCGTCGAATAAAAGACGTCACACTGGCAAGCTACGAGAAAATAAATTTACAGAATAAGAAACAATTAAAAAATAAATCCCTTACGTTCGCACACGTCCGTTTCGTTCCAGTGCTTGTTGTACGGCCTGAAATACTTAGGTTTGCACTTGTTACAGTTGATCCCTTCCGTGTTATGCTGACAGTTCTGACAAACGCCCCCGCCCTCGTACTTGCCGTATACGTCGAGAGACAAACGTTTCCGGTCCACTTCCCCGTCGTAAACGCATTCGTTGCTGTGTTGGAAGCAGTTGCAAGCTGAAAAGATCGTTTCGTGTTGTCGCCGTGAAGAAAATAACCAGTAAACAACTTACGTTCGCACCTAAATGGGTCGTTGTGCTTCGACTGCCTCCAGGCCTTCTGTTCGAAACCGGGACAGCACGAGTTGCACTTCGCCCCGCAGGTGTTGTGTTTGCAGCGGCACAAGAGAACCCTGTTATCAACGGGATCGGGAATGTCGCAGGCGTCAGCGTGTCCGTTGCACATGCAACGACCCCCGATGCTGATATCCTTTATGGAGTAGAAATACTGAAAAGAGACTCGATCAGAGGGAAATAAACTCGTACGGGTTATATTATACCCTTCTCGTGACCGTAGGATCTTGACGGGCCACCGACATGAGGTGGCCGAGTAAATTTTTAGTTCTCAGGAACCTTAGTCTTACGTTGGTGGCTCTGGTCCACTCTTGTAGGACGGTGGAGTTAAAGTAGTGATTGGCCGAAGGTCTCTTGTTCAACAGGGATATCGGAATCTAGAATTAAACGAAATAAACGTTGATGTTTTGAATATCGGGCCGGTACTTACTTCTCCCCCTTCCAGGGGCACAATTTTGGAGTATTCGGTGCTACAAATGACAGAGTCATCTCTCGTGATTGACTGCAGACTCTCCCTTCCAAAGAACGTTTCACAGTCAGCTGGGGAATCTGAGAAGTACTGCCAGGGGGTGTATGTCTTCCCGTAATCGGAGGATTTTTCCAACACCCACAAACCCGGTCTGGGGGAGTTTGCCATTCTTATGTACACGTAGGCAACATGGAATTCCTAAAAATTCATCTGGTATTAGATAGGCGACATAATTGTTATCATTAACAAAGCACAAAAAGAAAAGATCTCTCTTAAATCAATATGTATTTATATTGCTGTAAACGAATTTAAATTTGGCGCCATTTAAATGTGATTATTGATTATGATCATAGAGGGCGCTAGTATTATGAAGAAGAAGAAGAGAGGAGTCGATAAGAAAGGAAGTTAGTTGTTATAACAAACTTCTAAAAATACAAGTCTATGGTTGTTATGTATCATGTAATGTGCGTTGACTGAAATGGGAGAAATTTTCAATCAACGTAACGTGTTTTTAAATTGTGCTAAAGAAAGTCTAATCTCCCTCACAAAAACGTACCATTGAACTATGAACCTCTGAACACAAGACAAGATACATCAGTTAGTTACAAAGAAATGCCTCAAGAGGGCCATTGCCAACTTAAAATAAATCAAATTTCTAAAACTTCCGTTTTGTAGCATGATTCGAATGTAATTTTTTGTTGTTCATTTCACTAGCGCAGTTAGTTTTTTTTAACTGAAGTTTTCGAGAAAATAACTTTTTAATATAGATGCCTAATTAGATTTTGTTTAAAAAGAGATACTTGTTATTGCAATATCACACAAATTACACGATATTTAAGAAAAGCTCTTTAAGAAAAGCTCAAGATTTTTTTCAATTAGACTGTAAATAATGGAGTTACAGTTGATTTTTAAAATGAGACTAAATTTCCTCGGAATAAAATAAACAGGAATATTGCTTTGGTAAATGTATTTTGATAAGTATATGATTCTTCACTACTTATTCCGTTTTCTTCTGATTTTTCCATATTTTCCTCATTTTTTTTATTTCTTTTGTATTAAAATAGAACATGAAATAATGTTTATTATTGATTGAAAAATAAATTGCAGTTCATACTGGTTTTTTATTATGTTCTGTTGGTCAAAATTCTTATTCCGAAACGTTTCTAGCAGCTACTTTCGTTGAGTAAATCCCATACGACTTTTGTATCCCTCATGTAACATTAAATATTACATTCTTTATTGTGAAGATGGACGTTGAATTGTTTAAATGTTTATTATATCTTTATCTTGTTTCGTGGAGCCAAACTATATCAAACAGGGTAGTGGGCGGACAACTTCCTTCAGTAATCAAAGTCTAATTCACTATCAGTTATCAGAGGATGTCACAGAATTCATTTCGTTATCTACGAGTTGTCGTTATATTATAACGCTAGTCCTAGGTAATTTTTATGCTGCAGTACAAACAAAATTGTCGCGAAACTTTTCTAAAAACTGCAACTGCGAGTAATACGAAACTTATACCAGCGACCAACATAATTAACACTGGTGGCGTTAGCACCTACTTGTTTTTAATATCACCTTGCGCGTGTCAGCCAGTTAAGGTAAAAAAAAATCATACCTACATGCTAGCTTCTGATTTAATTTTAACAAACTAAAGTGTAAATACGAACATAAAAATATATATTAATTTAATGATTGTTTAGCTGCATGTGCATTTCTTATTATAGTGAATGTAGTTTTGCATAAGAAACATTTATATGCAATAAAAAACAGTATTTTTATAGGCGTTATTTAAATATTATATAGTACGTTATATAAGTACGGCTTATAAATAGTACAGTGACTTAATGTGTGTAATAGAGATAAATTTAAAAAGTAATAAAAATATTACTATTTTAATTGCATTCCCTATTTTATATTTAAAACAATTTTTGACGCATACAGTCTTGAGGATGTCATAATAAAAATGACGAAACGTCGACAAATACTAACGAATAATACCGGTTTTTTATACGTCCTGACCCGACCATACCAAAAAAATATAAAAAAATACTCCGTCAATAACACCGACAAAGACAGTTAATAAAAGATACCATAAAAAAAATAAAAAACTGATCTTTTTCGATTTCTCTTTCCGTAATACCGACTTTATTTCGATACGAAAAGTTAGATTCAGTAAAAATAAATAAAAGCTACCTACCTATTATTAATTTAATTATTTTTATTTATGATCTAATTTTAGAAGAATTCTAGAATAATAGCTAATACCTACCAAGACATATCTTTTCGATATCGGCTCTCTGAGAATAAAATCGCGTCTGTTAAATGTATAAGACCAGAACTAGCAAGAGTCAAGGGGACATGTGTTTACCAGACATCCCGATTCCCTATGGGACTTAAAAATATACACTTGGTTAATTTAAACAAGACAACACGAACGAAAACTTCAAGAAGTAACAATAAGTATGTCTGGAAGATGACCTAATGCACAATACTTATGTCATCGCGAATATCGTGAGCTGGCATCTAATTTTAATTAATTTATTTATGTTGCGAATTGACGCTTTAATTGCCCCATAAAAATAACGTTTCTGACCCGTCACATTTTCATTTTTTAATCTAATAAACACGCCATCCTGTCGGGTGAATGTTTCTATATAGTATTCTATTAATTTATTTTACGAGTAAAACGTTTATAACGCATCAATCGTTTATTTGTGAAATAAATACCACAGTAGCCATTCAAGCAGTGCGAATTTTATTGATAAATAATCAAGAGATGAGTTGTTTCAATATAAGCAGATTCCGTGGAAGAAAATCAAATGGTCGATATGCAGCTTCATTCATTAATCTTGTGTTACACGGTGTGTAAGGTTTTTAAGCCGGTACAATAGTATTGAAATACGTTGTAGGTTGTAAAATGACAGACTGATATTTATAGGACCTCCTATTCATTGATCCGAGTTTATTGTTGTGTGAATCTAATTCAAAATCGTTTCTACTGAAAGTGAAAGTCAAATAGAGTCGAAATTTGCTAGGTACGGCATTTAAATGAGTTTTTTTCGAGATATTTAGAATTTTAGTTTGAATTCAGCTAGATTTCTTACTCAATAAGCTTCTTCGAAGTTTACATAATATAATTAGTCCAACACGGCCGATAGAAGCGTTAATATTTACAGAAGAACCGCAAATACTGGTCGAGAGAAAATATATTTAAACAAATATTTATTAAAATCGAAAACTTGCGGAAACCACAGGTAAATATCTGAAATCATCTCGCGGCATAAACATAAAATGTGTTGGAAAATTTGATTTAACTCATGTAGATTTTTAAATATTATTTTGCAATTGTAAAAATTGAAAATATGTGCGTAATTCATTTTCCTACCTAACCTATAAACATAACGATTCTAATTCGTTTATAGGTTTCTTAGGCTAATTTTAAATACTTTTACGACTAGTTACCCAACCCACACATTTATGTCCAGTCCAGATTGTAACTGGAACCGCAAAGAGTGAAGAAAACTGTATTATAGGTGCGTTTCGTTGGTAATGCGGAATATATAATTTATTCAAAGTTACAACCGATTTATTTTTACGAATTTTCTGATTACGCTTCATTTAATAAAAAACAAGGACTAGTGCGAGAGAAGGGGTGGCATATTATTATCAGTTAGGTTTTCTCTAAAGTTTAACGTTCCTGGATAGAAATTCTTACCTGTCCTAGATCTATGGTTAAATTCACTTCATTGTATTTCATCCCCCTGGATAATGGCGGACTCTGCCACCAGGTTTCCATACCATCCACTGCGAATTCTGGGGGATGCATTTTGTCCGGTTGTGTTGGATCGCAAACATCGCAATACTGAAATTGCAAACACAGTTTGAACTCGTATTGAATTTTATTGACGAAACTCAAATCCAATCAATATATTTGATCTTTTTATAAAAAGTGAAGTTGTTCCACCAAACGAACTTCTGCAGAGGTATGTATGTATGTATGTACAATAATGATTTAAATCTCCTAAAGACATTAGATTTTCAAACAGATCTTATACACGGTGTTTTCAAAAGAAGTAGCATAAATGGTACTGGTGAATTTACAGCTAAAAAGAACACGTTTTTCATAAAAGTGACCTTAGTAAAAGTTACAATTAATTACACGTAATTATATCTAAAATTACCGCCAGTCGATACAATTCAACTACGATTCGTTACAATTAATTACAATTCTTTCATTCATTTATTCTTTATTAATAATAAAACATGTTTTTTAAATGAAAAAACTTTTTTGAGTTTAGTATTAAATATATTCATTTCAAAGTTAAATATTTCATTTTCGTCGTATTACAAAGATAGGTTACTGAACACGAAACTGATAGTGATAGTTTAAGTAAATAATATATTGATTATAGTACATATTTGTACGTGTACCTATATTTAACAGAGAATACAAGTTTACAGTACCTATGTATAATCTGAATGTTATGGCTAATGGTGGTTATTTTGAAATATATTGTCTAAAATTGTGTTCGACGCTGATTAAAAAAATATAAAGAAAAACCCTAATGCTAATACTACAAATATGGGCATGTCTAAAATTGTACATTAAATAAAATGAATGCACTTCTTTTTTCTGCTTCATTTAAAAATTATAAAATAAATAAACGCTTATCTTCCTATAAATATTAAAACGATATTTAATAATAACAGTACTCATTTCTTATCCCTTGTATGCCACAGAATTGAGATTAATAAAATGAAATATTCATATTTAAACAATTAATGTGGAGTATGGCTGATTTTAAGAATTAAAATACGATAATACACAGATTAGATCACGCATAATTTTGGATGATAAAAAAATGTAAACATACATTGTTCAAGAGGAAGTGATAATTATAAGCAAATATTACTCAATATGCTTTGTATAAACACAGTTAAGAAATATTTAGTGCATATGCGAATCTGTGTTTATGTTTTAAAACCCCTTCAATAAAAAAAAAGTTCCTATTAAAGTAGGTAACATATCCTATTTTTCATACATGCAATTGTTTTTATAATTCATGGCTATTGTGTGTCAAATTCATCCGAATTCCTTTTCCTTTATTATACATATACAATTCTTTTTGAAAAATTTATCTGCCCTCATGGGCGTAGCTAGGATTTTTGCTTAGGGTGGGTCGCTGCATGCAAGGCCAAAAAAAATATGGCGCAGTCAACGACCTACCGATATCAGAAATATGACATTATTGCATCTTTTTTTCTGGGGTGAGCCGTGCACACTCCTACCCCCCTAGCTACGCCTATGTCTGCCGCAATAAATTACCACTGTGATAATTTTATGGGATGTCTCTTCTCTTTGAACGTTTCGTGGTGGCATAGTTTTATCCGAGGTTTTATCGCTGTTCCTTGTCGTTTAACCACTTGCGCCATAAAGACAAATGAACTTGATGTCAACTATTAATCAAAATTAATAAAATAACTGTCATTATTACGGTTAAATATAAATTTCTTATCGAACAGTGAACCGCTTTCGGTTACTAGATAATTATGAAATGTTCTTACAGTTTCCTCTTTCGAAAATATCGCGTGCCCCGATTTTCTCTGACGATAAGCCGAAATTAAAAATGCCACGAGTTTAAATTTTAAAGTATATGGATTCTATACATGTAATATTTAGTCTATAATTAACTATATAAAAATACGTGTTTCAAAAAAATGTTTTTAATAAAAGGGTTGTGCAACGGGAAATATTTATTGTTCTAGAACAAAATATTTTGAGACTTCAGAGAAGTAATGTGAACTATAGAAATGTTGATGCAACACTTTTGTACGCTGTTAGGAAATTTTTTATGTGCATATCCAATCAGTGGTATTTGCATATTAATTATTGTGAATAAATAGGCAGATTTTTGTAATTGTGCCAAAGAATCAATTTTGTTGTAAAAATGTTTTTAATTTTTTAAAATAATTGTGCACAATCCGAGGACTTCCTAAAATTTAGATGCTCCATTGGCGGATATACAGGGTATCGGTGGCATATTTTTCTATATAAAATAGTACGCCACTGATTTACGGTAATAATCATGATAATTTCGGATTCTTCTTTCAATTTTCGAAAAAAAGCCTGAATCATTTTAATGATTTTATTTGAGCAAATGCTCAAAACTACATTCATATCCACGATATCTTTTTAGTAACGAAAATGTAATTTGGTCGAAATTTATTGTTGCTTGAATCTGATGAAAATCATTATTTATACTTTCTTCTAACTGCTCAGAATGTCAAAGTAGCTATCGCAGCCTACTATGTAATTTTAAACCGCATTTTATTCGAATATCGAAGTGTGTTTTCAGTTCGTTTTTTAAGTTTTTTCGAAAAACATAGGAGAGTAGTAATTTGTAGAAAATATTTTATAAAATGATGTTTATCGATACTGTAAAACTAGGTATGCAAAAGATAAGGCTCGCTAACTGCTGACATTGCGGGAAATAAAAGAAAACCTACTGAAAATTAATAAAACAATACATTATTTTACATCAATTGAAATAGCACTCAGGTAAAAACGGTCATGCTTTGTTAAAAGACAATAAAATAAGATAAAAAAAGACAAGATAAATAATCCTGTTAATTTTTCACTGCATTTTCCTATTTGAATCTACAGTTTGCTCCCCATACTTATCTGTAATTCCCATATTTATTTACAAATACGTTCTCGCTTTCAAACAAACATACTTCGAGCATTCACCGCTCTAATTCTCTTTCAAATATCTACCCCTACCAACCTGCCCTTGGATAACATTATTAACGTTGATCTCGTTGTCGGAATTCGCCCCTATCAACTTGCAGTAGAGCTCCGGACCCTCGGTGTCCACCCCGCAAGTGGCGGAGGCGGTGATGTTCTTACCGTCCGCGAGGTTGAAGTACGGCGGCGTCAGAAGCTCGCCCTTTACACTTCCAGTCAACACCAACAACACCAGGAGGACCCACGGGTCCTCCAGTCCTTTACACGCCACCATCATCACGCTACTGAGCCGATGCCGGCCGACAGAAGTATAAACAAGGCTCAGCCTCTTCGGTCCGCAAATTGTTTAGCCCTTGGGCAGGACCGGCTCTCGTTGTTTTTTCTATTGTCAGTTACTTTAATAAATTTTATATTTTATTCAATTGTATTTGTCTTCATTTGAGTTTTATTTGTGTTAACACGCTTCTAATAATGTCAAACGCCAAACTTGTTTGTTTTCAAAGCCTTCTCAGTCAGAAAACTTAAATGTCGTTGGTATTTTGAAAATTTAAATCTACACAGAAAAAATAAGTAAATATATTTTTAGTATGCATTTTTAGCCCTCTTTCTGTTTTTGAAACAAAAACTAAAAATATCATTTATTTTTATGCCATCGAATGTATCTCAAAAAAGTACCTATATAATTCAAGTATTTTACAGAAAACATCGTTCTTTGATTTATTTAACTAGATTAGGAGCTACCATATTTTTTGATATTAATTAGTTAATTAATTTATAAGATACTTTTTTGAATAAAAATAATATTAACTTCAATATTCACGACTGTTTCTTAAATTATGTAAACGACCTTCATAATATGTGGTTCTAGGTTACAATTTTAATACACATTCTTTTTTTAATATCCGGAAAAAATTACATCCTGGCAACACTGTACCTTTTCGCATTGTGGCGTCATTGCAAACTTACTGTAAACAGACTATAAATGAATAGAAAACTTTTTTTGATGTTCCCAAAACACCGTGTATATATAAATCACTTTAAAGTTGTACGACCGGAATAAATCTGTAATGTTGGATACGGTCCTGCCCCTCTCCCACTATTAACAAAAGATTAAGTTGCTGGTCGGGCTTTGTGAAACGTGTGAGCCTCCTGGACATAATCCTTTCTATAGTTTAGGCCGTAAAATTTTCAGCAATTTAATTTTCATCATAATTTTCATGTGAAATTAAAATGACAGATAAACGGAGTTTCACATTCTATTTTCTTATAGGATAATTAATTACGATAGTTAACACATTTAGGTCTAAAAATAAGTTTTATGAGAATTCAACTCGTGGAAAAGTATCGAAATTATGTACCTAGATATACATAGATACTATAAAATTAAATACGAGTTCAATCCCCATAAAATATTTCTTTTGTAAAGGACAGGAAATCAGTAGACGATCTAAAAGTGCTTTTTATTGAATACTGCTAATAAATTTTGAACATGCGCCTAAAATCATATTAAAACATAGTCACAAGATTTGTAAAATCAAGGGAAACATTCCACAAAGAATAACCAGATTTGCCATTAACTAAGAATGTTTATATTTAAGTAGAGCCTTGTTCATAAGTCAATTTGAATAAAAATTGACATAAGATTAACAATAATAATTAATTAATAGCAAAGCTGTATGCAGTGGTAAATCTATTAAACTAAGGCCTTTCAGCTTTAAAAAAATAAAAAAGAATGACTTGATTACTGAAAAATTTCCATTATATTATTAAACACAAGCTAATCTTCGGCAATTTAAAAATATTCTAAATTTAGAAGCACTCCAGTTTTTTGCTTTGCCTAAAAGCAAAACCTGTTTTTTTTTTCAATCGCACAATGTTTTCAGCCACTGTCTACACAGTGCACCCTTTTTATTTTAAACTTAGATCCACAACAGTTATCATAAAATCATTATTCTTTGATAAAGCTTAAAATTGACTAAGAAGTAAAATATAATATATGGCTTATCACTCGGAACTATATTTAATATTGCATCATTTAAATATCAACAGAACTCTCGTCTAGAATTACAGCTGGTAACTTTTGTGTTATACAAATGAAAATAGAAACCATCTATGATTCAAAAACATCAAAAATAAAAACAAAATATTGACTTAAAACAATCATTCAACATAAAAAATATTGCCTTTTATATTAGCTTTAGATTTCCATTAAAATTAATTATGGGTTAATATTGGTTATGCAAGCAATTGTACATAATGTACTAATAACTGGTTGCATACAAAGAATTTTTTTTGCAATATTTTGATTCGATATTTTATCATAATAAAGAACTTTTTGCACAATTCTTTCATTACTTCTATTTTAAATTTATTAAAAGGAAAAAAACATTACTTTGTTTTTCAGTAATATGAGATAAAACATATCTTGATTTATACTATCACACAATCGCTCTACAATAAATAAAGTATAAAATTTCGAAAACTGATAAAACATTATGTATCTAACAAGAGAGGACTGAATCTTTGGCACTATTAATACAACTAAGTTAATATTTAATCTCCCTTTGGATGTTTATACAAATAAGCTGCTACCATGACCGAACTACTTAAAACAGTATTAACACTGAAGTTTAATAGCAAAGTTAAGTCCATAGACTCCACAGCGATGGTAAATACTCTCGCTGAAATCAAAACACAATCTTACACGCTTACGAAGTTTCTCAAGCAAACTGTACTTACTGAAATTCGTAAATGCTGATATGAACCATGTCAGAACACTGACAGACTCAGAATTTTTAGTTTTTATTATTTCGACCAATTGAACGACCTTAGACGATGCCCCGATTGGTGTACAGAGAGGCTAAAACAGACGAGTGTTGCATAAAACACGAAATTGTTGGCGAGACGAACCTACCACTAAGAATGTAAGCAGACCAAGCGGGGCCATTCCAGTTAAAAATGACGCTGCTGTTAAAAAGTATATGCCTGCACCAAAAAGGCTACCAATATGTATCATATTTTTATAATGTAAAACGCAAACCACTAATACAAGTTCTTGTAATAAGATAATTGGGTATTCTAAGTAGGACAAAATCGCATAACCATTTCTATAGTTGTAAGACATCATAATTGTGTAACTAGAATAATAGATATAAATAGATGTACAGTACCTATACTATAAATAATAGTATTAAAATTTACCTGGAGAGTTCCATGAGAAGTCCTACAATGTTGATCCCTTTGGCACTTTTCACTTTTAAAATAGTTATAATTTGAGGGATTTTTAAAATAAAACATATTGCTATAGTTATTACACTTAAGAGATTTGAAAAATGCTGTAAGAGCCCTACATTTTCTCTTAAATCTGACATAGTGTGAGACATTTTACTGAAGCTGTTAATTAATGCTATTACTTATTATTTCCAATGAATTTAAAATAAATTGAAAATTCAAACCGTCAAACTAACACAACACACGAAGGTTACGTCTCTTCTTCTTCTTCATCTATTATTTAAGCGGATTCAGTATTCTGTTGATCAGTTCACTTGGCAAACGAAAAAGGCGACTGCGACATCTACTTGAATAATTTAAAATCACTCACATGGAGAAACTTCCGTATTCGATTATTTCGTTTTCTTCAGAATTCTCACTTTAACTGTCTCGGAAAAGGTATGAGGCACCTTACTTTTAATACGGAGCAGTAACAAATTAAGAAAAATGTTACTCAATGTCGTAATTGTTATTTACTTAAAAAAATTTAACTTTATGCACAACGTACCATTGACCGCTGAACACTAAACAAGATACATCAGTTAGTTACAAAGAAATGCCTCAAGAGGGCCATTGCCAACTTAAAATAAAAAAATTTATAACAAATAAGGAATTAAATTAAAATAACTTGTCCGTTTCTCAAATTCACAAAAATCAAATATGTACATTGGCTTTTCGGGCTGTTATTCCATGGCCAACGTTGGTTGCCTCCAGATAGACTTACATCGCACTTTCTTGGCCTTAACTGAACTACCTGTTGCTTTCAGGCTAGGCTCTTGACATTTTTTATATTTTCTCTTAACAATTACAATATTTTGGTCATTTCCAAGTGTACAAAAATACTCTTGTTCGTTAAGTATTCAATATCGTCATTATAGTGAAATAAGAAAACTGTATATGAACATATATATTTATTTTTAGTTTTACCACGTACATATCAGAACATTATATAGTTATCACAATGAAATAAGTATTTTTATATAAGCCTACACGCTACGTATACCACAAACAATATACCTGTCTCCTAATTAATTATGGGATGGTCGTATCGGGCCCAGACTCGCTACATATCATCGTAAAAAAGCGTATAGCGAAATAATTGGGTTGAAAGCTTTCAACAGCGGGACTGGTAAACAAAGATATGGAACGAGTTTGACGATACCATCCACCATAAAACAAACGTACGTAAGACGGGCCATACATCTAAGCAGGAAATAAAACATATATACTTTTATTTCATCGACAAACGATGGATTTACGCTAGGTGGGATTACGTGCTACAAGTTATATCCTCTCGGATCGTGATTAGCTGAAGAATTGTCAGGAGGTTGAACTCTGCTGAAATTAATGATCAAAATATGTGTTGAAGACAATTAAACCTACTTTTTTTTTTTTAAATGCTTTAATACTCAACTATTTGCCACAATCGAAACATTTTGAATTAAAATTCAGATTCCGACGACTATATATCCATTTTTATATACCCAAAAACCTATTCAAGAGAACTATAATGCATAATAAACCATATATTTTAAAATAACCCAAAAAGGTTGGGGATCCCACTTCTGAACTGCCTAAGCCTACTGGACCAGCTCGGCTACTACTCTGGATAAGTCGTCGTTATATCTGGCCAGGAGGGTGGCGTTCAGGTCTCTATTCCAGAATCCCATCTCTGCCAGGGCCTGGAGATTCGCCTCGCGTGGGGTCTCGGCGCTTGTACTCACCCAATGGCCGTTCACCCACCTACCAGGCTGCTGCGAAACGTCGATAATTGTTAATTTGGAGCAGCCTATTCACACGGGGCATAACTTTAAATGGGGATCATTTTCTTAGGGGTACAATAAACAGTCGAATTATAATTCGTTTGTTTCAACTGCACTTAAACTATTGCGTGGATCCGCCTGATGAGATATGACAATGGGCAAGAAACGAAGCCAATCAAAGACCCCCATTCAAAATTACATCGGGTATGTTTATAATTGCACTAGATGGCGACGATTCCGAAGAATCCCCGTCACACTGATTTATATTCACCGAAGGAAGAAAGAAAAAGGAAATACCGAAAACAATGTGGTTATAAAATGTCGAAATAATTAACTTTCGTTCTTGTAAAAGTTACTTATGTTTTGAGAGTATTGAAAGAATCAGAACTATTTTATGAAGAAGTCGCCAGTATCATGGGTTTAAAATTTGATCACTTTGCTATAAACAAGGGTGACGGGGGTTTTCTGAAAGTGTCGCCATCTAGGAATGTCACACCTAATAGTCCAAGCATCAATTTTAAATTGGGTTTGATTGGCCTGATTTTTTTTAAGTATCGATAGCTTTGTTACTTTTAGAAATAGATAAAAAAAAAACTGTTAAAAATCTTCTCTTTTCTCTTCTATAACTTGTTTCCATTTATGTTCCCATATTTTTGCTATTCAGGGCAAGTCATAAAAATGATTTTTTTTTTTAATTAAAAAATAATTGTTTTCGAGATACATATATCGATTTAAAAAAAAAAACCTCTCGAAAATTGGCTACATCTTCTCAGCGGATGGCCCTACAGTAACGATTTTCGGTTTATTTTCTTTGCAAAGAGTTGTATTACCATGATGTTAAAGAATTTTGATGATTTTATTAATATTAAGGATAAAAAAATGACGGAAAAAATTGCACCTTTTTTGTTTTTTTTTTCAAATTACTGTTTGAATTTTTATTTTATGAAAATGACAAAGAAAGAAGATACTGACATATTTTCACAAATTCAAAAAAAAATAATTATCGTATTATTTTTTTCTTGAAAATATAAGTAAGTAGTAAGTAACCTTCTTCATGCGAATCGCTGTGAAATGTTAATTGCGCCCTCTAGATTTTTTTTAAATAAAAAAGTTACCTCGGCTCAGTCATAGAAAAACATTTTTTTTTAACTCGTGAAAAAATGTCAACAATTTCTTTCTATAAAAATTGTCACAAAGTAAAAATTTAAATAGTTATTGGAAAAAAACACCCAAAAAAGGTGCAATTTTTTTCAGTAATTTTTTGACCCTTAAAATTAATAAAATCGTAAAAAAATTTTTAACAGCAAGTAAATACAACTCTTTACGAAGAAAATAAATTGAAAATCGTTACTGTAGGCCCATCCACTGAGAAGATGTAGCAAATTTTTCAAAAAATCGGCAAATCTCGAAAAATAACGCAGGGTAACAAAATTTTACGAAAGATCACACCCAAAAACCAGACCTCACTTGCGCGAAGGTTTTTGGTGCGTAGAATCCGAATCTGGCATCAGAATTGCTCCTATACGTCACGTTTCCCAAATATCCTAACCTAAAAGTGCAAAAAACAAGTTTTTTTTGCTATATTTGAGCTTATATCAGAGCGAAATTTTTTTTTTTCTAAAAACCAATCATGCCCTCTAAAACTACTACTCTTACCATTCAAAACGTTTTTTTCAGATTTGAAAAATCTTTTTTATTCGCGGAGATATCATTGAATGAATTTAGATAGGTACTTTAGCGTTTTCATAACAGTAAAATCGAAAAAAGTTCTTCAGAAGGGGGATATTTACATGTTAATTGGGTCGCTCAATCTGAATCTGACCTCCAAATTATTCAATCACTTTAGGATTCTGAGATTTCCTAATCTAAAACTGCAAAATCAACCTGTCTGGTTAATACCGTACTATAATAATGGTGCATCATAAAATCGTTGATTTTGCAGTTTTAGGTTAAGAAATCTCAAAATCCTAAAGTGATAGAATAATTTTGAGGTCAGATTCGGATTGGGCGATCCAAAAAACATGTCAATATATTGCTTCCGCTTTCTGAAGAACCACCGTTATAAAAACGCTAAAGTACCCAACTTCATTCGATGATATCTCCGTGAATAAAAAAGACTTTTCAAATCTGAAAAAAGCGTAATAGTCATAGTTGAAGAGGGCATGATTTGTTTTTAGAAAAAAAAATGTTTTTGCTCTGTGATATAAGCTCAAATATAGCAAAAAAAACGTGTTTTTTGCATTTTTAGGCTAGGATATCTCGGAAACGTGACTATAGGAGCAATTCTGATGCCAGATTCGGATTCTACGCACTGGGTGTGCTTTCGTAAAATTTTGTTGCCCTGCGCTATTTTTCGAGATTTACCGATTTTTTGAAAAAAAAAAGGCGCTCTCGAAAAATTGCTACATCTTCTCAGTGGATGGGCCTACAGTAACGATTTTCAGTTTATTTTCTTCGTAAAGAGTTGTATTACTTTGCTGTTAAAAATTTTTTTACGATTTTATTAATTTTAAGGGTCAAAAAATGAAAAAATTGCAACTTTTTTGGGTATGTTTTTTTCCAATTTAAACTATTTAAATTTTTACTTTGCGACAACTTTTATAGAAAGAAATTGTCGACATTTTTTCACGAATTAAAAAAAAATGTTTTTCTACAACTTTCTGAAGCCGAGGTAACTTTTTTATTTAAAAAAAATCTAGAGGACGCAATTAACATTTTACAGCGATTCGCTTGAAGAGGGTTAATGCTAAATACTTATATTTTCAAGAAAAAAATAATACAATAAATATGTAATTTTCTTTTGAATTTGTGAAAAAATTTCAGTAACTTCTTTCTTTAAAAGTCGTTTTCATAAAATAAAAATTCAAATAGTAATTTGAAAAAAAAAACGCCCAAAAAAGGTTCAATTTTTTTAGTCATTTTTTTATCCTTAATATTAACAAAATCATCAAAATTTTTTAACAGCATGGTATTACAACTCTTTACAAAGAAAATAAACCAAAAATCGTTACTGTAGGGCCATCCGCTGAGAAGATTGGCCAATTTTCAAGAGGGCTTTTTGTTCATCTCGAAAAATTACGATTATTTTAAAATTTTCCAAAAATATATTTTTTTTACTTGCCGTAAATAGCAAGTATGGGAACGTAAATGTAAACGAGTTATAGAAGAAGAGAAAAGAGAAGATTTTTAACAGTTTTTTTCGATCTATCTCGAAAAGTAACAAAGCAATCGATACTTCCAAAAAATCAGGCGATACATCTTTCTCATTCAAAATTTTTTTCAGTTAATTTAAGAAAATCGTTTATCGTAACTATGCGAATTTTTTTTGGCCATGTTTGCTATTTTGAATCGAGTTTAAAGAAAAAGAAACTCAATTTAAAATTTAATTTCCCGTATGGTCATTTTTTTCCAGATAATAATTTCTGCAAATTTAACATCAATCCGTGACTATAACTTTAAACATTTCGACACAAATTACATACGAACCTCCAATATATGAGATTTTTTTTACAATAATTGCAATATGTCCACTTTGAACCGAAATAATTTTGTTCCAAGTCCGAGTTATTCGTTTAAAAAAAAAAACTCATTTGCAGCAAACTAACGAAAAGTAAAATTTCAAAACGGACAATAAAAATTACGTATCCGGATAAGAATTTCGAACCAAAAACGAAGTATTTTCCAATTTGAACGAAGCGTTTTGCAAACGCTAAAAAAAAAGTACAACATAAAACAAAAAGACCGAAAATTCTGAACAAATAAAGCAGTTTTCTTGTGAGCTACTTTCGCGGTACCATTTTTTTCTAAATAGCAATAAATTTTAGCAAGTGCGAGATCGAATAAATTTTAGTCGCTCACCTCACGAGGCACAATCATGTTAAATACGGTTCTTGCGGTATTTAGGGCAGACGAGGCGACATTGACCGCCCCAGACACCAAAGTCTCGGGTAGGATATGAATCGGAGGGGAGTTTTCGTGGGCCCTTACGTTTTCGGGTGGCGGCGTCCCGGCAGCTGCCTGGGTCGTGGGAATGCTCGTGGTTTCTGCGGTGGTCGTGGTCGCCGTCGGTGGGGCCGTCCTCAGTTCCGGGGGGGTCTGCTGGAAGTTCGGGACGTGGACCGTGCTCCCTGCCGCGAAAGGGTTTTTGTTGGGGGCGGTCGGACTGAGAGGCGGTGCGCTGGCGGATGTGGTGGTTTGGGCGGATGAATTGGCAAAAGTGTACTGGGTATCTAAAAATTTTGTCGTTAGTTTCTGTCAGCAGTGGAAAAACTCAAAAAAAAACAAAAAAAAACAAAAAAAACAAAAAAAAAACCTATTTAGTGGCCGTTTTATGCTTCCATTGATAGCAATGAAGGATTTTTAAAAAAATACAACTTACTAGACTCGGACCATTTGTATTCCTGCAGGCTATTCTCTGATACGTCCAAAACTGGGTAGACGACCTCGAAGCCGGGGCAGCTCTGCGGGAAGATAAACAATCTGGAATTCTTGTCCGATCCCGGACCCGCTTCGGAGAAACAAGACCCCGCGGCGGAACAGTGGGACATAAGATCGCCGTTAATATCTGAATCCAGCTTTTGGTCGCCTCCCTCCGACATGACCTGCTGCTCGGGAACAGAAAACGGTACAGCTTCGGATTGCTGCTGATCGTCCTTCTTAATGCCCATTTCGACGGAGGACGCGACACTGTCGGTTCTAGTCAGGCTTTCCTTCGAGGAGCTGGCGTTCTCATCGGCGAGTTTTAGATATTCGGAATTCAGTATTTTCTTGGGGATTGGCAGGCGGTGCCCGTCGACTATGAGGTAAGCGTATCCTGGAAAATAAATCGTATTAAATCGTTTATTAATTACACCAGACAATTTACTTACCGGCGTTGTCCTCCTCTTCCTTATTCGGTATAGAAATGACAACAACGTCCGATTTCTGACTTCCGTCGTTCGACGAGGAATCGTCCAACTTCACGAGCAACCCGGTGGCAGAATTCTGATTTACCTTCTCCGAATTGTTGTTACCGTCGAAATTATCGGAGGCCTGTTCAGAATCGGCCTTGACGCTTTCCTCCGAAACCCGTTTGTTCGAACTGCTCACTGCGGTGGAATCGGTGACTAAATCTTTATCGTCTCCACCTAGTACATTCTCGGTGTTTGCCTCTTGATCAACTTTGAAACAGTCCGGTATGGGGACGACAACAAATTCTTCCGGTAGACTCTTCGAGGAGTTGCTTTCACTCAAGGAAACAATGCTCTGGTTGTCGGAGTCGCTGCTGCAGTTGGTATCGGTAGGATCTTGCAGCTTCATGTCGTCCATTCTGGTACTTATATTCCTTACGAGCGACTTCAATAAGCTTCTGGAGGTATCGTCATCGTCGTCGGCGGTCTCTTCGGGTTTGGCTCCGTCATTTTTGACGTCCTGTTCAATGTTGAACGTGTACTTCTGCGGACTGCTGGTGGGCGGTTCTGCGACGAAGGCAAACCTAGTAATTTAAAGGTTCCTTCAAAGTCGTAAGACTTACCTTCGAAGATTTCCGAGTACTGAGTCACCGCTTCATCTATGTCGTGGTACTCTGGGTCGGTCGTCTTGAATTTTTTGGGATTTGAAATAAATTCCGACACGAACGATGTTTCTAAGACGGATTTGTTTCCTTTCAGATCGAACGGATCTACTATGACCTGGCAGCCCAACCAGTGGCCGAATCGTCGTTCCTTGTGATGGAAGTGGAAGTAGCATTCGTACTGGCCCGGGTGATCTAGAAAATTTTTTTTTTACGTTTTAGCTAGAAAAGTCCTTAGAACTGAAGGAAAACGTGGCAAACTGGCAACAATATGTCCGAATGTTCGAATATACAGCTGCACATAAAGACTTTCTAGTCCGTAACGTCGTTATATGCTAGCGTTATAACACAATATAGATGTGATTGTTAAAATACACCAAATATAAGAAATGAGTTGCCAAACACCACTTAATTTAAAGTTAAAAAAGTTGTATACCACCACAGGATACAGAAATTTTAATGTAAGTTGATTCAGTATTATTAACAATCTCTTACTAATATCGGGACGTTTGAACTACTGCATAAAATCCTTAACGCCATGACAAAATTAATTTCGCCGACTCCAAATTAACAATTCTTTACTACAACCGAGACATTTGAACTACTGCATGGGATTTTTTTTTCTAACACTGAAAAAATCTTTACCTCCTGCATATGTGCCAGTAAAAAATAAAGGTCCAGTTGAGAATAATAATTTTTATATGCATTTAAGATTCAACCGTGAAACACATAATTGTCGTATAATCAACTTTAAACTCACCAGGAATCTGAAGGCGAACAGCGAGAGTTCCGATCTGCCCGGGTTTCAAATACGGGACAGATATAGTGGTGTCCAACGGTTTCAGTGCCTTCGAACCCCATGTAAAGTTCAGGGAAGTCTAAAATTTAATGCAAAGGTAATCGTTACAAGATATTGTAAAAATATGACAATAAACGTTCGTAATTCGACCAACCTTAGACGTCCAGGGCAATTTCCCGGTATTCATAACCTCCCACTGATGCAGGTACACCTCCCCACCGAGCATATGTGGCACAGCGGACTGCGTGTTCACCGGAGCGGCATCCATTTGCAATAAGTCATCCTCCTTCTCCACGCGACGATACGAATGGCTCCTGCTGCTGCTCTGACCGGCGTCGCTGTCGCTCGACTTCGTCAACAGAGCCAATTTCTTCTCCTTGATCTTCTTCGTCTTGTGCTCCAACTTCTCCAGTTTCCTCTCTAGCTTACCCTCCAGCTTGAGCGATTTCAACAGGTCCTTGGTCCTAAACATAACAACGAAACAAATCGTACACACTCGCAAAGATACGCGACATAGCATATTTGAGTACGATCGACTTACTCGTGTGAAGATTCAGCGATGAGTGGGGCCAGTTTTCTGACGCGTTTCGGGCATTCTGGCTTGGATTTGCGTGAATGGTAACAAGATGGCTGGCTTACAACATGAGGTTTAATATTTGAAACGATGGTGGACACCGTAGTAGTCAACTCGTCGGTAATATTTTTTTTGAACTAAAACGAATTAAATTTTATTGTTAAATGACATGAAAATATCATTTGCAATGTTTAATTTGTACTACATGTACTAATCAGTACTTAAATGTATGAATTTGATGTCAAAAGAAAATAATAAATTTATTTAGGGGCTTCCCTTTTGTCAAAACGAGTTCAATGGAGAAGCCCCTACATGTTATTAGTCATCTAGCACCATTATTATTATTACAGACACATATTACATGTCAAATACTTTTTGAAATAGTTATTTTTATCCATAGTTAGTCATCTGGAAAGATTATAGATTACGATATTAGTACGTTATACCAATCAACAATTTTAGACCCCAATTTGTCAAAATTATTCATTAAAGTCTCTTTGTAAGTTACTATTTAATTTGCATTAAAAGCTAAATTGATGAACGTAGTATAATTTTTTTTAGAATTATTAAAAAAAATAGTTCAAAGTTTGTTAAATTTATATCACTTATAATAATCAAATGAGTCATCCTTGTGCAAACATGATAATGCAAATAAACAATACAATATTCTAAAATGTCCGACTAATATTTACCTATAGAGAAATTGTGATAAAGCTGTATTGGAATTTTCTTAAAAAAAAAATCAATGTTTTTTAGACTATGAAATGTGTAAAAACACCAGTGAATCTACAATAGTGATTATTGCACAATATTATGAATACAATTTTACGATTCATTTAACACAAATTGTTGTATTGAAATACTCGAAAAAGTAAAACATTGTAGGTTAAAAAATACTTTAACACTTGCCTGATTCATGTAGGCAACAAACCACTCTGGAGGTGTTTCGATATTGCAACATGTCGAGGTAAGGGATACCGCCTCGTTGTTATCGGACTGGGTTTCCACATCATTTGAGTGTCGGAGATTTTTGTGGGTGGGCTGGTCGGAAATTCTGTCAAGTTTAAGATTCACAATGTCACCCAGTCGGGACTTTCTGCGGAAAGCGTACAAGGCGATCTGGAAATCAGTTTGGGATTCGATAGGGAACTCCCTGTTACTATCAGTAATATATGAAACCTTCACATCATCCCCAACTGTTCCAGAATTTTTCAGCTGCAAAATATTTTTTATTATATTTAATGAAACGGTTTTTCTAGACATATCTTACCAGATAAGATTTAAATACTTCCCAATTTAAAGTGGTTGCTGGGATGTCGTACATTCCGATGATATTTGCTTTGTCACCTCCATTTGCAGGTTTATTTTTCCACTGTAGATTGTATATAATTTCTAAATCCTTCTTTTTAGTAGCCATTTCTATTTATGTCATAAAGAACACGTACGTCTAGAATAGTATTAACACGACTACGGTTTAAAACAGCTGGAATACGCGAGAAACTAAAGAGTTTTGTTTATTTTTATCACCTCTGTTAATAATTTCCTTGACGTTTTACTTCTGATTTTGCTTTAGTAATTCAACCAATCAACTGTCTGTATTTGTTCGATCAAGAAACGCATGCGCCAATAAACTGCGTCGTAGAATTGTTCATTTTAGTCTATGGTAGGTACTGATTATAGGTCTGTAGTTCAAAGATCATTGATATAAAAATATGAGATCTGTAAACTCAATGCAGTATTTAGATCGTTGGGTAAACTGTAAAGTCTCTGGATTGACCATGTATCAATTGTGTCCTAAAATGATGGTTGTGCAAATGTTATATTGTGTTTGATGTATCTAAATATTTTATTGCATTTTGACTATTATTTATTTATTCTCTGCTTTATAAAAAGTTTTCTTAATTTTGTTAAAATATTTGAAAAACAATTTATTTTAATCAAATCTGAATCTCCTGTTAATGTTTTTTTAAAATGTTGATTCTGGGGCCTCGACAATGCTTTAGACATCTTTAAAACGTTTAAAAATGTTATATTTCGTCGAACATTTTTAAATTGTGAATTCGATGTATGGGTGAAAGAGGGAGACTATTGTCGCATTAATTGAAATAGAGTTTTTAACTAACGTATTGTTGGAAACAACTACTCTGCGGACTAATGCTGGAAGGAGCTTTAGTCTTCAGAGTAGTTGTTTCTCGTACGGAATTTTTTGTCGGTTATAAAAGGTAAACACAAAATAAAGGATATCAATAATTTAGCATTTTATTTCTTTTTAATAAAAGAAAATATATTTACATATGTATATACATAACATTTTTCACTTTATCTAACTTCAGTCAATAAATAATGTGATTCCAGATTAAGGGGGTAGGTACTTAAATTATTTCAAACGTTTAAACGCTATTTCATCCGTTAGACAAACTTTATTCCTTTGCAGTGGAATTGTCGACTGACGTAAACGACGGGTTTTCGATTCCGTTCGACAATTTTTTGGTTTCCGCGTCTTCTCTGTTGAGTTCCTCGGTTTCCGTATCCTCTGGAATGACGTAAGTGTACCTCATCGCCAAGAAAGTGAACAGCAAGATATCCACCACCATCAGACCGGTGTAAAGGAAGAAATCGTTGGACTGAAAGAAAAAAAAACAATATTCGATTGCAGTGAATGACTCGATCTAAGTACATACCTGTTTGTCGAATATTTTGGCGGACTCGATGATGACGATGATGAGATTGCCAAACGCCGTGGTGAGAAGGAAGCAGGCAGTCATCAGCGACTTCATCGAAACGGGAGCTTGCGAATACGAAAACTCCAAACCGGTTATGGAGAACATGATTTCCGCAGCGGTTATGATGATGTACTGCGGGAGCAACCACAGCATGTGCACGCTGTTTGGTTCGGTCACCGTGACGGTTTCAAAGTTAGCCGTGGCGTGCTGTAAGTGTAAATTCAATATTAATTTTAAATACAATCTTCGGAGGACGTTTCGAACGTCAAGCATGAAATAAAGACATCGTTCTGCGATTTTCTTACGTTAATCATGACTGTGTACGTTCCTCCCAACTTGAACGTTGTGGTCCCTTCGAAGCCTTCGATGCTGTAAGATCCGGGGGAGGATAAACTTTTTAAAGAATCATCCCCGTTTTCAACACTCAGGGATTCGTCACCACTAGAATATGTTATATTCGCAGTGGAGCTGTATGACAGAGTTCTGGAAAGAAGTTAATTTAAATTAAAATTTATATGTCCCGGAGTACAGAGCCATGAACGATTATAAGCCACGTGGCCAGTGACTTTGGCAAATAAGATTAAGGTTATGTTAAAACATATCTTTATGTTTCACCGGGTCACCAGCTTACCTGATTTTCGGATATCCATCCTCGCTCTTCTCCACATCGTCCGCATAGTAACTCACTCCAGTATCAGACAGATAAAAGCCGAAAGCCTTTCCATCTTCCAGTAGAAATGACGTCTCTTCCTCATTGAAAGTAAACTGGACCGAGTTATTTCCGCTGAAGGAAATATCTCTATTCACGTAGTAACCGTACTGGGGCAGGGATCCGGAGATACCTAACTCTGAAGATTCGAACGTAAGGTTCCCACTCGACGGGTTGTACACCCTGACTTGAATATTGCCGCTGGACGGCACCACGGGGTAGGTTGCCTCCAAGGCGATCGATATCAACGCCGATACACAAAAAGCGACTGCCGCGAGGAAACCCCCGCAGGCCATACGCTGGAGGGGGGTCTTCAGGAAGTTGCATTTCGCGAATACGGGATACACCACGTAACTGAACAGGGGGATGAACGCTAGGATCAGGAGCGGGTTGATGACTTGCATCTGATCGGGGAGGATGGTGTAGAATCCGATGTTGCCGTCCATTCGAACCGCTTGGAAGGTCCAGCCGGAGCCCTGTTGGTCGTACAACGCCCAGAAGATCGGTAAGGGGATGTAGATGATGAGCACCTTCAAGGTAGCTTTGATGTCGTTCACCATTTTCGCGCCGAATCTAGGTTCGGCGTGGTCCAGCCAGTGCTCTTTTTTCTCTGAAGACTTGCACTTCTGGGATATGGCGTGCTGGAATTGCGGAAATATGCTCGATTACAGTATCTTATAGAATCGAAAAAATTGTACTGTTTGGTGTAAGAGATACTTACTGAGATACATTTGGTTACTTGCACGATCAGGTTGCCTTCTGGTTTCTTGATTTTGTAGAGGGGTTTTCCGAGACCGAAAATGACTGGAAATCGAAATTAGCAGTGAATAATTTCCACTTTATTTTGATGAAATACTACTGTATATCTTTAGATACTTGAAGGTAGCATAAAATATTCTTTCAAATGATGTGTCGTACAGGATGTTTATTCAAAATTTTCTTTCAGTTAACACGTCTAAAATTAACACGTCTAAAGTTAACACGTCCAAAATTAACACGTCTAAAATTAACACGTCTAAAATTAACACGTCTAAAGTTAACACGTCTAAAATTAACACGTCTAAAATTAATTACTTTAAATAAGGCATCTAAAAAAATCAGTACATTCAAAGTAAAACCCAATTTCTTAGCCTTACTTTCACAAATTAAAACACGTTGGCTACTCACCAATGGAGATGATCATGAGGGCCCCGGGGACGGCGAAAGCCAAAGGAAAACAGCTCTCTTGGTCGAAGCAGTGCACGTTGTTTCTCAAAATCGGCGTCAGGAAGGTGGAGATCAAACTACCCGCGTTAATGGCGAAATAGAACAGCGAGAAGAACCTCGACAGCTGCAACTCCTGCTGGGGAAGGACGAACTGATCGCCCCCGAAGGCGGACACGCACGGTTTGATGCCGCCGGTGCCGAAGGCGATCAGCACCAGCCCGAATATCGAGAATCCCGCCTGCGGAAGACCTATGGGTTCGGCGGACGCGAGGGCTAAGAGGATGCTGCCCGTGGCGTACACCATCGACACGTAGAATATCGTGTTGAATTTGCCCAGGAAGCTGTCGGACAGGATGGCCCCGAGGATAGGGAAGAAGTACACCAGGACGGTGAAGGCGTGGTATACGATTTTGGCGTCCGCCTCGCTGTAGAGTAGTATGTTGGTGAGGTAGAGGACGAGGATGGCTGGAAGAAAATCCTTGGTTTACAAAATAAAGTATTTAAAAGTACGCTGCCTAACTTTCACCACGGTAGAACGCTTTGTTTTAAAAAAAATACTTTTATTAAGACTTACGCCTATGCTAACAAAAAAATTCGTGAAGCTATTTGATAATAAGTACCAGTTTTCTTAAAAAAAAAATGTAAAACAGTGTACGAGACACCTGTTAAAAATATTCAAGTATTGAGAAACCTCGTTACTGATTCGTGTTTGTTGTTTACAGTAAAGAAAATCATAAATGATACGGACTGTACATATAAAGCAAAATACTTGCATACATATTAGCCTTGAACACTTGTTTTATCCACATTACGTGTTACAAAAGTAATTGGAATTCCATATTGCAACATTAAACGAAAACTTGTGAGTACTAATTGGTAAAAATAAATTAATAAAGACATTTTGTGTATACTTACTTCGCATTCCATAATAACTGAACCTTTCACAAAACTCATTGCTGACGATGAAGAACACCGACTTGGGATACGGTAATTTCTGCAAAAAAAATATAACTTTAGGTAACGAAACTAGGGCGGTGCAATATATTATTTTTTTTTAAATAGCCAATGCCACACCCTGTGGAAACGAAATTTCAACATGAAATTGTGTATTCCATGTTTAGCCTATGCTAAAGTCTTCAGCAGACTCTATTTTACTTAGGTTTTTCTTTCATGTTTTTTATTTCGGTTAACTCGAAACGACGCAATAAAAAAACATTGTAAATCCAATGCCACGTTGACGGTACTCATTATTAGTGTTATATTTGACAACGCCTTGTTTCATTTGTTATTACTGCCCAATTGTAAGGCTGACCTTGACATTGACACCTAGGGCAATGTACATTATCGTCTGTAAGCGACTTCAATCTATAAGACTTCATTTTTAAACCGATCCTTTTGCAAAATCGTGTGGGTTGTTTTCATTTTACGTTAACCACACTACCAGGTGTTGTGGATGACTAAGTCAAAAAGGAACTTTATTCTTGCTAAATACATACGATGATTCTAAAAAATAACGACTTTTTTTCTTATATAAGATGATTCGATGAAAAATTATGTAGGAATAAATTAATTTCTACTGGAACAAAATAATCTGGGTATATGGAGCTGTTTAATACGCGATTAGTTGATCTTGACCTTCGGTGTCTCTTTAGAGTTAATTTTTAATAAAATTACCCTTGTCGTATTGGCATATCTGGCACGTTAAGTGATTCCCAATAAACATGTGGGTCATGGCGAAACTAATCGTTTTAATAATGGTTTTCCACCATATCGACAAGGTATTTGAACCGCAACGAATGCAAAACTACATATTTTCAACAAATCTCGCCGTTTGCGGACGTAAAAATTGAGCGCAAATGGATATTTATTTATATAAATAAGCGAGTGAATATTAAAGGGCTAACTAAAGGCTAACAACGTTTATAGGCAAATAAATGGGTAAAGAACCTTGCAAAACGGTTTAAAAATTGGTAGTAGTACCGGTTTGCAGGAATCTGGGTCGTTTGCGTAATCAAGTGACTTAATAAATCAAGTTCTTCCAATGCGATTTGATACTGCATAACATTCGTATGTGTCCAAAGGAACAGTTACATTTTTATGCCAGTAATTATTTCGATAGATTATTAAAATGCAATTGGTGTTGTAGCGGAAACAACCTTCATTAGAGTATGTTTATTAACCTTCAACAAGTAAGTAGTATATAAAAATACAATGCTTTATTGATTTTCTTTTCAAGACTTCAAAATTTCAGTCCAGGAAACTTAGAAAAACACGCAATATGTTATGAATATAATCAATACCATACGTGTTTCATTAATATTTTTTATGATCCGTGGGTATGAAAAAGGAACATGTTTAAAAACCTGAGATACGTCAATCTATCACGTATAATTGTTTCATTACATAGAGACATGAAAAACAATAAGCTTGAAATAAGTTAAACAAATAAATTAGTTAGAGTTTGGGTATTTACCTTCACTGGGCAAATTGCTAAGTAGGTACATACAGTAACAGGTTATTTAATTAGCGTAGGTATTATTGGCACTTCTTTCTACGAAATTGTTAGATTGGTACACTTTGTTCGATGCGGGAATCTAAATATTGCAGTCTACGATTTAATACAATTTATTTTTTTTTTGACTTGTGAAATAGAATTTCAGCTTGCATCGTAAAGATTCAGAAAAACAAACAAATAACTTTATTGTTGAAGTCATCTGAACCGTTAATATTGTTCTGATTTTGATAAAAAAATGTGTTACTAAATTGTATGCAGATAAAGTAAGAATAATTTACTTACGTAAAATGTATGCACTTTTTATAAAGTGATTCTTTTGGTAATTGATTGTGAAATGTTGTGCGGACATTTTGTTTTACGTTTCTTGGAATTTCTAATATGTTTGCGTTTATGTTTGTACATAATGATTTCCCACTTTACAAATGTTAACATTGTTAACGGCGTTGGAAACCCTGATCTCTGTTTGATGTTTAGGAAACATAGTGTTGTGACTGATAAGCGAAGTAATTGTTGTATACATGCAGAATTCTCGAAATATTTGCATAAATTGCGTGTGATAAAGTGCTATTTCCAGTAAAAGTTGCAATTTGTTCTAAATAATTCCAAAAAACGCGAATAAATAAATACATAAGGAGTACATTATCGGGTTTTTTAAATATTTTTTTTATCAGAATATCTTGACATTCCAGATGAGTCACGTGAACAAGTTCAATTTTATTCGTTTATTTTCTATTTTAGAAATTAGTTTCAATTAAAAATCCAATGATACATTTACATTTACTTTAATTGAAATAAGTAATGAAGGAAAAATGTCATTGGAATGCTTATTGTAAATTATAATCTGCTGCTTTTGAAATATTTTGGGGGTGGTTCGCAATTTGAGGAAATTTGAATGCAATCGGAAGCGACTTTGACGTACTTTGTGGTATTCTAAAGCAGTTCTGATGCTTTTTAAAGCCGTATTTTGACTTATTGTTATATGATTCTAAAGTCAGTTCGATGATTGTGTATCTACCCCTCAGTAAAAACGAACTTCTTCCTGTCGCGTCTAAACTGATTGCACTTGCTTATAGAGAAAGCGCGGCACACTTAGATTTCTACTCGTTCTACTTATAAATTTTAATTATTACTGATCATTTGCGTCCTAAATATTTCTCCTTAAATAGTAACCTAAGTAATAACTAACGATCAAAAATCGACTTATTTTGCACTACATTTGTGAATAATTAGGTGTAACCGTTACAAACTGACTACTGAAAAAACATTTAGTATTTATACATAATTTAAGGCATTTTTAGAACATATTGAACTAACACAGAATCAAGAACTTTCGCTTTCATATCTTTTCACTTCGGTTTGTTTACGATTTCGGTAATTTAAAATTCAAATAAATTTTCTTCTATAATGTCGATAGGCATACCCAATACTTAATTAAAAAGATGCAAATTAAATTACTAATAAAGTAAGGCGATGTTTAATTTATTGAAAATGATGTCATACATATTAATATTGATAATTCAACACAAAATACAATTACATAGTTTTTGTTTTCGTTTCGGACTAATGTAAATGCTTAATTAATGAAAGGAATCCCCAGTTTATGAACTAAGCTGCATATCGTTGGCATTTCCTAATTATAAGAAGCCTGCAATACATTTTTTTGTTTTAAATAATCAGACCCTTCGACCAATTTAATGACACTTGTCAATATTTCTCTTCTAAAACATGTCTTCTAGGTGTGGTTGCGTATTTCGTAGATGCGAACCTGTATTTTAAATAGATTTATGTTGAAACTGAAGGTCGTTTGGTGCTTGAGGCGTGCTGCTGATTTAGTTTCTAACAGAAAGTTGTACCTGATGTATACGGTTTGTAGATAACTGTTTTTCGTGAATATCCAATAATTCTTCAAATTCATTACAATCAAATATAGATTGAAACAATTAACAATATTTTCCTTGGTATCATTTTATGACTACTTATTAAGTAAATCGTTTTTATTGCTTGCATCTGGAAATATGGGGGAATTTTATAGATCTGGAGATATAACATAACATGGATGTGTCAGGAAATATCTCTGTTTCGTGGAATTTAAAAAGAAATTACAATTGTAATCGGTAAACAGACTCTAATTTCCGTAGCGAAATAAAGTTTACAGATATTAGAAAAAAAAATAGAAACCGTTTTTATTTTAATTCTGCTGTTGTTGTTTTTAACTGGCTGTGCTATATAAACTTGTTTCACTGTTTCTGACTGAAAATAATATTATTCTCTCCTAAACCAAAGATCTCGCAGTATCTATAACTACGCTGCTTTTATTTGAAACAAAAAAATTAGGAAAAATAGGAATTGATATAGATTTTACAAATATGCAACTAGGAACCTGGTACAGCAATTTTTTTGTCAACATATCCCAATATAGTTTGTGTTACGAAGTTTGAAATAATGATAACTGTACCAGGTTTTTTATATACCTATGTTTCTTACAAAAAAAAGCTGAACAGTTCAAAATGTAAACCGTAAATTCGAACTGCATCAAATGCAATTCGATCCTTGTCTCATAGATTGAAAATTTCCCAAACGTTTAAAAATTACTTTCATTATTCACAAAGCGTAAAGTACTTTGTCGATTAACTAATTATTACCAAATATAAATTAACTTTTTGTTAAAGAAAAAACAAATATATGCATACCAAAACACACAACTTAAAACTTTATGTAAGTAAGTAGATATTATTTAAAGTCTTTGTTAATTATTGTCTTATTGTTGCTACAATGTATATTTGTTAATTTTTTATGGCTATAAAAGTTTATCTGGAGAAATTCGTGTTTATAGTGACTTTGCAGTTTTTTATCTTAAAGTATACAAACCTACAGGGTGATACGAGAAATTCTCTCTTTTCTATTTTGATATACTTCATTTAAGTATCGCACTCTATTTAAAAAAAATTAAGCTGATTCAAATCTTTACATAATATGGAGCCAAACAATATTTTCCATACCAGAAATTTAGGTATGCAAAATGTTCTAACCGCTGCTCAGACAAGATTCCTAAATGTAGATATTGGGGGTAACTATGTGCTCCATAGGTCATAATTATGTCTGGACTAGCATTGAATTATACCAAAATAAAAACTAATAATGATACCTATATTTAAATATATAATTANTAAAATTGATGGTTTTCCCTGCAAGGTGAAAAAACTGTTTTCCTGACTTATTTGTTTAAATAGAAAAGTTAGCTAATAAAAGTTTTTGACTCACGAGATGAGACGTCCTTTAGACGACAATTTTACAATAATCTCGCGGATAGCACTTTTTTCGAGTAAAAAATTTAATTTGCTTGGTCTATACCTACTTATTTGTATTTTATATTAAACGATTTTCTGGCAGAATTTAACAAGCAATCTAGCGCGCCTAGAATCAGCGGATATTTGGCAACACTGTGAGAAATTATTTACTTCGTGAGCAACAACTGGTGCAGAAATATTTGTCTTGAAATGTGGACGATAGAAAATTGTATTTAAATATTATNTTTGTCGATTAACTAATTATTACCAAATATAAATTAACTTTTTGTTAAAGAAAAAACAAATATATGCATACCAAAACACACAACTTAAAACTTTATGTAAGTAAGTAGATATTATTTAAAGTCTTTGTTAATTATTGTCTTATTGTTGCTACAATGTATATTTGTTAATTTTTTATGGCTATAAAAGTTTATCTCGAGAAATTTGTGTTTATAGTGACTTTGCAGTTTTTTATCTTAAAGTATACAAACCTACAGGGTGATACGAGAAATTCTCTTTTTTCTATATTGATATACTTCATTTAAATATCGCACTCTATTTAAAAAAAATTAAGCTGATTCAAATCTTTACATATGAAGCCAAACAATATTTTCGATACCAGAAATTTAGGTATGCAAAATGTTCTAACCGCTGCTCAGACAAGATTCCTAAATGTAGATATGGGGGGTGTGCTCCATAGGTCATAATTATGTCTGGACTAGCATTGAATTATACCAAAATAAAAACTAATAATGATACCTATATTTAAATATATAATTAATAGAAAAACACATACCTCATATACTGAAATTGGTAAATAATGCAATCATTCAAAGAAATATATTGTATTCCTGTTATTTTATGACAAAGATCAATCACGTAAAAAAGCCAATTTTTTATTTTTGATAATAGAATATATTTTTTTAAAAATATGCAGTTTATACATGAAACGAACTAAAAATGTATAATTCTATCAGAATATGGAAGCCTTTGCTTTGATGATGAATGCCCGGTTTTTGCTCAGGTTGGTAAGATTGTGAATACTTACTGAAATTAAAAACTCTACTTTAGTTAGATTAGTTTTAGTAGACTCTAGTTTTTCAGGAAAAAAAAATCTTTTACCTCTTGCTTCTCGATACCCATATTTCGCAGTAAAAAAATCTACCTTCACAGTCTATCACAAGTAAATTCTACAATATCACAGACGAAATAAATAAACCGACGCAACTGAACGGCTTACAGTTCCATTTTCTACGCGCTACTTCAGGAAACGCTGTATTGAAATACCCAGAGACGTGTTACAGTAGCCGGATGAGGTATGGGACATAAAATAGTACCATACCCGCGGTGGTTTGACAGTGACTGAATACATGGTTTGAGAAGTACACTCGATATGACTGACAGCAACGGCGAGCTGGTAAGGGAACCTTAATTACTGTTTACAAATAAGTGTTCACCGGGTAGATCGGCAAGTCTGGGAGGATTACCTTCTCAACGCGATATAGACGTATATGGGGTATGACGCAGAAAATTGAGGAAAATTATGAAGGCATACATATATAAACATTTTTGTATTTGTTTTTTTTTTTCTTAAGATTTAACTGAATATATTACTAGCCTTGCAATTCTACCACAAGGTATTGCCATTTATGCTTCGTTATCTACTGTAGTTGAGCTTCGAAGGAAATATTTAGATCGAAATTTCTTGCCATACAGCAAAAAGTTATATCTTTTTAAAGACAATGTGCCGCGAGTGGACCTTTACAGTAAAACCATGATCCGACTTCAATTCATAGCCTCAGAGATCGCCTGATCCCCATCCCCAAACTTTGTACAATATCTGTAATTTTAGGAGTAATTTATAATGTTTCTGAACATATATTTATGTAAACGAAAAGATTATCAGAACATGTACGGTAAATTGCAGGAACATATCTACCTCTTAAACCCATCATTCTAAATTAAAGGCTATCCTAAACAAATTGGGTACCTACTTCAGGTTGGGCGGCCATTTTGCCGAAGGAATTTTTTAAACGGCAATTATCGCAAGTTGATTCAGTGAGCAGCGTACACGCTAGATGATGAAATGCAACCTCTCGAGTTAAAACATTTCTCGTACAATACGAAACAGATTTTCAATGAACTAAAAATATCGTTTGTAACTGATAGAAGAGTAGTACGAATTCGTTTTTACATATAACAGTTCAATTAATGTGTTGCAAGTGGGTCGTAGCTAACACAAGCGAACTAACAAAATTTTGAATAAAAAATCTCGTTTTTTTAGTGATTTTAACGCCAGATTTTCGATATATAACCTAAAAATACGAAAGGCGGTTATTATGAGGTTTTGTTACATCACGAAGTAAAACGATTTTCCTAAAACTAACGAAATTCTTTATGGCAACTGAAAGCACTTCTCTATCCATTCAAATTCCATTTTGGATCGTTCGAATATTTCCTTTCCTCTCCGAGAAATCTTCTCCTGAAATTGATTTGTTTCTTCTTTCGGTTAGAATAATGTCTAACACCTGATAACTGAAAAACATATTCTTTTCGTAGTAATTAATATTTGCCAATTTCATGATAAATTGCGGCGTAGACAGAATTTTTTCCAATATTTAGCACAATCAAAATATTATCAGTTCAATAGACCACTTCTACTTAATAACGCGACTAATAAAAGGAATAATGACGCCATCGGTGTTATAATTAAAAAAAGTTTCTGTAGGTACACGTAACTAAATGAAACTAGGAATTTCTAACGGGTAGTTTGTAGGTACTTATAACGTTATTAAATGTTAATTTGCCATTGTTTTAAACGCCATAACTGTTTATCTCTTTCGAGACAACTAAATAATAAAAAAAAACAGCCACGGAGTAATTATTATTGTTCCGTGGTAGGTATTGTTTGTTCATTGGCATACGCCGCACATTCATTTTTTCTTGGTCGTGGGAAAAATACATAGTTTTGAACGCTTGTAAGACTGATTTAAACAGTAAACCACAGTAATAAGAGCACTGTGAAAACCACAGTAATACTGAAATGTATGAAGGTTATACTATTCTCAGATTACCAACATACCGCCCTGATCTCACCCCTGATGAACTTGTTTGGGTGTCAAAATTCAAAATTTTATTTTTCTCAAATTTATTACTAGAACTACTTATTTAATAAATAGTTAATAAATACATTTTATTGTCCACTGTCATTAAATAGGGTCAAATACAGATAAATCTACTTTAAAATCGGCATAAATAGAGTGAAGGTAATAGCAGGTAATTCGCTCATAAGTTTAAATGTAATGCAAAGCCTTCGTTACATACTAACTATATTGAGAAAAGTAAGTAAAATTTTTTATAGGAGGTACTGTTAAGGTCTTCTGTATCTATCACTCTATATTGCGGACCCTCTTCTTAATCTGCGTATCTCACGGATATCTCAAGTTTAGTCAACTACCTATATATTATTTTAATGTTTTTGAATTGGTGGAGTTATACATAAAAAAACATTAAAAATGAATCGTCAACAGCATTCTTCTGTACTGTAATGTTCAATCAAGTAACGCTAATTTTCTTGATCTTATTTTGTATATAATTGGTCCATTAACTAATGTTTATTTATTAAGTGGGCATCAATCATTTAAAAAAGTAGGTCTTCTAAAATATTTATGATTGTTGTTTTGTCTGCGTTTATATTCGATTAAACTGAATTTACTTAACTCTTGTTATTCAAAAGTAAATAATAAATACCTAAATATTTTATATAAAACTTATTTAGATATAGGTATGATTGACACAAGTAATAAAATACCTAATTTACAGAAAATAAGTACCTTTCTTGTATATTTCATTTGAAATACAAAGAAAATTTTGTTTCAAGAGCAGATTCTGGTCCACTAGAAATTGTTTCTTTTTAATTGACAAAAGGTTGCTTTTCTGATCTAGTATTTGCATCTCAGAAACGATGAAGGACAAGACTTAGATACATTAAAAATTATTACATTTCAATCGATACGGATCTGCTTTTATGTTTTATCACCGATATCGACTTATTAGGATTTTTATCTTTATGGGACATTATTGCAAAAAGACAAAGGTTTTTGTTATCTCTAGATATACCTTAAGCCCTGATGAAGATGTACTTAAGTATCAAGTAGGCATTCCGTTTTACGATTATAATTAAGATTAAAAAACGTTACAAACTTACCTCCTCATTGTTCTCTTCATCCGTCTGTCTGTTCGTCGGGTTGTCTTGGGGGTTTTCTTTGGTATCATTTGGTTCTAAAACATAGCGGTACATTAAAAAATAAGTCGACAGTTGAACAATCTGGTAATTATCAGTAAACTATTATTTTACGCTTCAATTAACTTTGATGAGAATACTTATTAAAAGTTCAAGGCCAACTCCATATGATTTTAATGTAGGTCAGAATCCAAAATATCAATCAGTAAGCTAAATAATGTCTCATAAGTCATAAACTATCTACGTAGGTGTTTATGTAAATGCTAATTATTTAGCAAAAGTGACGTGGGAGAAAATACAGAGTGGCCAATTCTGAATTGGGACGTCCTTCTGATTTTTTTTGAGTCGCACTATTTTTTATATATCCCTATAGTGATAGAGGCTTTATCTGTGTACTTGTCGAACTAATTTGGCGGTCTAGTATTTTATATGCATACCGTCAAAAGAGGTTTTCAAATCGTTTGTTTGTGAAATTATGTTCATATATATTAACTTGTTTTTATTTTCGTTTTTAAAGTTTTTTTACACTTTTTTTTAACACCCTATATAAAAAAAACATTATAATTCCTAGTGGGCAGACTACACTGTAAAAGTATATCAGCGGACTGGTGACAAACTGAGAATTATGCATCTCGAACTTATTATAAATGTTTTTAGGTTATTTTGTAATGTCATTGCTCTATTCTTGCAAAAATTGGACGCCTCTGTATGCGAATTATTTGTGTCAAGGCATTTTGACAAATCTTTATCGTCATTATTAGTATGGATCGAGAAAACAACAAATAAAAGTAGGATATATCGAAAAAAAATGCAAATTGGAGCGTTTTTATTAATTTTAACTATCTTCTGAATGAAGAGAGATGCAAGTTTCCATAAGAAAGGCTAAAAGACGGCTATTCTTGTAAGATACCCATTGCCCATTGTCTCGTAACTTGATTCGCTTATTGGAAAATTATTCCGATATATATTAACAATTTTTTTTCTGTGTGACACATCGGAAAGCAGCAGATATATTTTACTTTCGACCTACTCGGTCGTTACATCAACACGTATTTAATTTATCCGAGCTTCAGTGGTTCCACCAACTTTTGGCGTACTGATATTAACATGTGGAACACGAAACTGATTAATTGGTTACCAGCTAGCTGAAATAACTGGTCGTGCTGGTCCCAGATCTGTTATTTCATTTCTTACGTAACGCGTTGTTTGTTTTATTCATGCGGTTATTTTCTACGATTCAAAGTCGAACACACGAGACAAAATAGTGTATTTACCACAACTGTACGCAGTGATTTAATATACCGAATTTATTTCCATCTTCATTTTTCTTTTACAGCAAAAAAAAAACGTTAAAGAACGTGATACGCATACACTTGCATTTAACGACAAAAGTGCCCAGAAATTACATTATTTCGGCGACAAACAACGAGAAAATCATAGTTTGACTGACGAGAGAGCTTAGTAACTGTTACAAGTTCAGCGTTAAAAGAGAAAAAAGGCAGTGATTCTGGTTATTTATGTTTTTCACCTACAAAACTACGAAAACAATATTTACACCGGTAAGGTATTATTCGTATCAGCTTTCTAGATTTACATCGACATTATGTTGATAACTTATCGTAGTTTCTTGTTACTGTAATATTTACTCCAATTTTTATTTTTATTTATGTAAGATTTGGCGAAACAAATGCGTGTCGTTTCTAGTTAACTGTTTACTAGTACAATTTTGATTAAGTTACTGATGAAGCGAATAATAATTGAGACTAATTTGTACCAGTATTTTCCTATTAAAATGGTCAAAGAAGCCGGTTCTATTTTAACATCTGAAAAATAAACGTCAGGCGAATGCTTTTTATTATAAAAAATGTTAACTAGAAATACACTACCGGCGCGGCGGTCGGAGGCGTTCAGTTCAAATTGATGCGCGCTGTAAATCTTGCAATATCTCGGCTTCTATTCATCCTACGATGAAACTTATTTTTTTTAATTTGGGGTAGCTCGACGAAAAAATAACAATGGGCTTATTTACGAATTAGTAGAATAGACCTGAAACCCAGAAAAAATGCATTTTTTATACTTAATTCTTTTTAATTTACAAAAATGTCACAAAAATTAT